AAGTGGAAGTGTTCATCGTGTAATGTGGGACTATGTATAAAACACGACAAAAACTGTTTTGCCGCTTACCATACCAAATAATGCTATTTATAACATCATAAAGTTTTTTTCGACAATTATTTCAATTCCGTTGAACTACAAAGATCTTTATTACCGAATGGAATATATGCATGTGGTACGATAAGGAAAGGTAGAAAAGATTTTCCTGAGCTGAAGTTAGATAAAGATATGAAACGAGGCGATAAAGATTATCGCATATCTACGTGCGGACTAGTGGCCATGAAGTGGATGGATCGAAGAAGCGTATTATTCCTCAGCAATTACCAAAATCCTGTGACAATGGGTCGCGTTCCAAGAAGGAGAAAAGATGAAGTAGCATGTCCCCAAATGGTTATCGAATATAACACCCATATGGGCTATGTCGATAAGTTCGACATGCTAAAAGGCCTGTATGAAGTAAACCGTAAGTCACATAAGTGGTGGCATAGAATTTTCTTTTACTTTGTTGATGCATGTGTCGTCAACGCCTCAATTTTGTTTCGATTGCGGAGCAAATCAAAAGCAATGAATTTGAAAACATTTCGTTTGGCTGTATCCAGAGGCCTCATTGGTGCAGTAGTTCCTTCCAAACGAGGTAGGCCTTCAAACAAGGAACCTATCAATAGGTTCAAAAAGTGTGTTCCGTTAGAACTTCTGTATTCTAAGGCATGCCACATGCCAGAAAGAACTACATTGCTGAGATGTGCCCACTGTAGCACCACAAAGGAAGTAAGGCGTACAAAGTGGAAGTGTTCATCCTGTAATGTGGGACTATGTATAAAACACGACAAAAACTGTTTTGCTGCTTACCATACCAAATAATACTATTTATATTATGTACTCGCCTGCTTTTGTTGCTGTTACCATGACCTATTTTTATGTTAGTTTCCTACTGGTAATTCAGGAATACCATATCGTGCAGGATAATCCTGATTATTTTCCATTGGTTCCGCGATCTTAAAAACTAAGTAAAATATAAATAAACAGAGTTACACTCTTCATTTTGTTTTTTTATTTAAATAAATAAATTCGGCCTCAAAGGGTTAAACATCGCAGCCGACTGTCACATATAAAATTCAGTTATTTTTCCATGCATGGAAACTAAGAAAAGTTATATCCAGGTATTTTTATTTATTTTAAGTTTCATCAGTTTTAGTCACGGTTACCTGCGCGAAATTTGACAATGACCCAGATAATGGAATGATTCAAAAGAAAGGTTCAAGACCTACGTGTTAATAAAGTAGCTGGCCAAACTTCACCAAGTAATATTAAGAAAAAAGGTTCATAAGGTTCATAAAAGAATAGGTCCGATAATGTTTCGATTTCAATATTTGTGCAAACCTTTTCTGAAAAACCATTTTTTCGTAAAAATCGTAATATTCCTAGTCGATCGTGTTAAAATTTAGTAGGAACAAACAGAGAAGTATCGCCGAAAATCTGGACTACACTGGTTAAAAAAGACGCGTCAATTTAACCAAAGTGAAAGAGTTAACGGAATTAGATCTAGATGGCCGTAACATGTATGTACGAGTTGAAAAAGTCTGTTACACATGTACAACAGAGAAATTAAGCGCATTAAGTCAGTCAAGCAGGCCCATACCCGGTAGCCACTGTCCATCTGGCAACGTTGCCCCTTTCCACATTGCGTGGCAGTGCCCGACGTGGCATCGCAGCAGCAAGTTATCGTTCATTTTGTGCATTGTCAGTTTTTTGCCTTTCAGTACGGATAGACTGATCAGCTGGGCGGTGAGCTTAGCAAGACTACACGGATCAAAAACATTTCTCTATTATTCTTATAAGTTTCAAAGACGGGGAAATCTATGTGTGATATATGGGTAATATGTGCATAGAATTACCGAGATTGGGAGCGTATAAATATACAAAAATCAAAAAACGTTCATATAGCCCCCCACTCCTACAATTCCCGAATTTCAACCCATGCAGAAATTTTCTGTAAATAATCGGGACCTTCTGGAACGTCAAAAAACGTATGATCGATTTTTATTTTTCCGTTTTTTTTTTTAAAAAAGATTTTTCGTCCTTGGCATAGTAGCAACCTTGTGTGAAAATTTCACCAAAATTCTAGCGGTACTGATCAAGTTAGAGACGAGCCTAGGATTAGCGTACAGATATACCGACAGACATGGTTTTTCAAGATGTACATGTCATATAACATCCAAAAAACACACTGTCTCATTTCAAAAATTTTTCGCGATCCCGAAACGTTTCAGTTCCTCCATCACGAAAACGAAGCATAACCGGACCTATGTATAAACATATATACGAGTGCCGTCCGATAAGTACTTATCCTCACCACCCGATGGCGCCACTATCGCAAGAGAAATTTACTATCGTGTAGTATATTCGCGTTAACGGCTACTGTCGAAATTTCAGCCGAATCGGACTCGTACTTCAGAGCAGCTGTTTAAGCGCAATCCGAAGGAGTTTCTGCGTCATTTCGTGACCGTCTACGAAACATGGATCCACTGATATACACTAGAGACATTCAGAAAACGCATTTTTCAGACGGGTCAAGTAGTGGGAGCATCGCTGAGTTAAGTGTATCGGGCAAAAAGAAGACTATGTCAAGAAATAAATTGCCACTTTTCCAAAATTTTCGTGATTCTTTTGTAGGCTAAGTACTTATCGGACCACCCTCGTACATGGACATTTCCTTGAAATGTTCAAGGAATTACCTCCTGAAGTTTGGATAGGTACTTTATTAACTTAATGTATTATATAATTCTTGTATCTGTAATAAATATATCTAAAAAGTCAATTTGCAAAATGCATGGGATCCTAAATAGGGTAATCCCGAAAAAAGGGACTGTCTATAGGTATTTCATGAAAGAGCTAGTAAAATCATACATCTATGCCCTGGACTACTTACTAAGCTTAAGCCTTAAAAAAATATTCAAGATAATGGACTAGAAAAATTTTCAGATTTTGCTCACGAGTATTTCCTCGACATGACTAAAATCCAAAACTACGAGGGTTGTATCAAAAATGAGGCCCAAAGAATTTTTCATTTGAAAAACGAATTTATTTAAAAGGCGAAGAAGTCGGCCGCCAGCTCTCTTGGAAGCTTGGTAACTGCTCCATACAACTCCTCGTCCGTCTCCAGCCGTTGACCGCCTAGGTGCTGCTTCAATTTCGGAAACGTTATGTCAGGGCTGTAAGGGGGATGGGCAATGCCAAATGGCTCGATTCAGTCCTTCGTTTGTTGCGAGACATGAGGATGCGCATTGTCGTGATGCAGTCTTACGCTTTTTCAGAAGCCTCAGGAATTTCAACCGCCTGTTCCCGATCTACGAGCACGATTTGCTCAATCTTCGTCATAAGTTCCTCAGAGTTTCTCGGAGATCGACGGCCTCCCGCTTCCTTGATCATCGTGGCTGTCCATGCGGCCGTCAAGAGCTCTCTTCACCATTTGAGGACAGGTTGAATGCTTATACCCTTAACAAATCGTGTGACACTGCTCGCCAGCAGAAGATCAAGACACACAGAATCTTCTTACAAAAGCCAACTGTAGAGAACAGACAAGCCGACGTCGAGTCTAGAAACAAATACAAAGAAGCGGTTCGCAATGCCAAAAACCAGCACGACATAAAAGTTAGGCACAGGGTAATGTCGCAGCGCAATGACAGTCGGTCTTTCTGGACGCTGGCCAAACAGATTGAAAAGAACTTCTCACACAGTAGCCTTTCACCACTTACGTGTCAGGATGGAACGATTGTATCCGACTCAAAAGCCAAGGTGGAAGTGCTTGCCAAGATCTTTGCCGCCAACTCCACCATGCCACCCCCCCCCCCACCGCCCAAGTGCCGTCAATTCAAAGGGTTCCCCACACTATGTGGGAGGTAACATTCAGGCATAAGACCGTAAGACGAGTGCTCTTGTCGCTCGACATCAACAAAGCTTCTGGTCCGGACTTGATTCCTGCCATTGTACTGAAGAGATGTGCAGCTGAGCTTGCTCCAGTTCTTTCGCGTCTCTTCCAGATATCTTATGAATCCGGCACCTTCCCAGAAAACTGGAAATTTGCTCATTTATCTGTTATAAGTAAGGTGATGGAGAGGTGCATAAATCGCGAGCTTCTGGAGTACCCCGAGCGTCAAAGCTTGATTAGCGACAGGCAGTATGGTTTCCGGCACCAGCGATCCACAGGGGACCTTCTAGCTTACGTCACGCAATTTTGGAGTAAGCTCATTCAGTCATATGGTGAGGCTCATGTCGTTGCTCTTGACATCACGAAACTTCCATCCTATGGCCTCCCAGAAAAGCTTTGCAGATGGATGGCTGACTTTATCTCTGGTCGCAAGATATCCGTCGTAATTGACGGGTTCTCCTCTTCATCCCACAATCGGTCTTGGCTCCGACACTGTTCCTATTACATATTACCTTCTTTCCCGCACGATCAACCCAATCCACAGCTTCGCTGATGACAGCACTCTACATGCAGGAATTCAGAGCGACAAGCCGATCTCTACCGCTGAGCTGGAAAAAAGAAGACTAGCGACGACTTCATCTCTGACGAGAGACCTGGAGGTTATCACTGCTCGGGACGCAACAATCTTGTACAGTTTAATGCTTCCAAAACACAGTACTGTACCTTGACCAACAAAAAGCATCATAGTGCTCATCCGATGGATGGCCGAGTTCTGCCAAAGATCCATTTATTTCCGCTAGTCGGAGTCCCGATCTGGCACGAACACGTCTCGTCAATAGCGGCAGTTGCTGGGAAAAAGCTAGGCTATTTGCTTAGGGCTAAGAAGTACTTCTCTCCGCATGACCTTCTCACTCTATACAAGGCCCAGATACGGCCTAGCCTCGAATATTGCTCACACGTTTGGGGTGCTGGCGCCCCGACTACATTATTTATGCTCGATGCTGTCGAGACGAGGGCTGTCCAACTGATGATGACTCTTCTCTAACAGACAGTCTCGAGACCCTCTTTTTAGCTCTCTTCTACCGCTACACCAACGGGCTTTGCTCCTCGAAGCTATCTTCCATGATGCCGACGCGCTATGTGCCTACCAGACAGACCCGCCTGACTTTGACCTCCCATCTTAATCGTGTTGAACTTCCTACATCCAAAACGGGCCGATACGACCGCTCCTTTGTCCCGAGGGAGAGGAAGCTTTTCCCAGTTCTACTAACCTTAGGCAGTTCAAAAATCGGATTAACAAAATTTATTTTTGATCATCATAGCAGCCGCGGTGTCTCGGCATTTAGGCTTCTGCCTTCGCGGCTGCTTCGGTATATATACATATATAAAAAAAATCGTATCTGGCGGTGACGGCTTTGCAGTGCTGCATGGCGCACGCCTGTCAGTCCAGTACTGAGCGTCGTAAATAGGCGATTCTTGCCGGGATCGGTGGTGAGGGAGCGAGTTACAGCGTTGGGAACCTTATTTTTGAAACAACCCTCGTATTTGGTAATTTTGCTTGGCTTGTAACGAAATAAAGCAGAGATCATTAGAATAATCTTGTATCTTTGTCCCGTGTTTAGAAATCACTCTGTATATCTGTCTAGACTAAACAAAGGATCGGTTACACGATAAACGGGATTCTGGAGATTCTCAAAAATTCCATATATCGTGTGCGCAATCCTGTTTATATCCGTTTAACCATTGGTTAACGTTTTTCTCGAAAAGACGCCTAACAATATGCTGCATTTGCACGTTCACATACAATTGCCACGCGGGCATGATTTTACTATTGACTCGCGGTTACATGATTTTAAATTTGCTCAATCTATTGCCATCATAAATTATTATTTACATGTTAGTTTTCACATAATTTAGTATAAAAGAATCATCTTATGTGTGCCGATACTTCCCACAGAGTCATTTGGTTGTCAGTAGCGATTTTATTTTTGTGAAAGTGTTTTTCCTATTGTGTTCTAAAAATAAGTGACATCAATTTCGAGCAGGTGCTATCATGTTTTGTTTTAGACTTGGGCACAGTGCCACGGACACTCTTGCTAAACTTCAACAGGCCTATGGAGATAGTGTTTTGTTAAGAGCCGCGATCCTCTACTGATCGGGGCCGTGGCAAAAGCTTGTTCCGGAAGTTGTTGTATCCAGTATTCTACTTCTTCCCTTTCAAGCGTATGTATACGCGTTAACCCTTTCAGTACGGCTGACATATTTATACGTCAGTTATAGAATATACCCACCGGCCGGCTGACGTATATATCCGACATCGAAGAATTATATCCATTAGCCTACTGCCTAACAGATTCGACACTTTTAGAAACTGGCATTTCACCACAGACGAGCGCCGTAATATTATGTCAATGTTTCGCTCACTGCTTAGCCGGATGACGGAAGATTTTGGCGTTGCCGAAAATTTACGACATCCGGCTACACTGTCTAGCGTCTGTATCGTGCTTGCGATTTTTGAAACCGAGCGTTATAGTCTTACTTGAAATGGCAGAGGAAGAGTGCGCCGGTCCCTCTGAAAGGCCTACACGTGGCCAAAAGCGTAAGCAACAAAATTCTAGTTACTGCGGCTTGAGCGAGGACGATATCAGGCAAATTTTATCCGTTGTGGATGAGGATGATATCTACCTTAGTGAGGAGGACCCATTTGAAGACAGCGGCAGCGAATACTCACCCGATAATTTAGAAAGTGAAAGTATTAGTTCTGAAGTCTCTTCGGTTGACGAAAATTACGATACCGAACAAGTTACACAAAATGAGGAACCAGAAGATCTGGAAGCTATTTTGCAGCAAAGTGAACAGGAGATTTTTTGGACCTCGAATGCATTTGTCCCTCGAGTACATGAATTTGACCGAAATAACAGTGGTTTGAAGAACGATAATTTGACTCCGGACTCAAAAGAAGTAGATTACTTTCTTAGCCTGTTTTCCGAAGAAATAGTAAATATAGTTGTGACAGAAACGAACAGGTATGCCGCCCAACAAAAGGCTAAAAACTGGAAAGATATTAATCTGCCAGAATTGTATGTTTTTCTTGCTATAACTATGTTAATGCCACGCGTGAAGAAACTTGAAATGAAGGAGTACTGGTCTCAGGATAATTTACTACATACGGCTATTTTCCGTCAAAAGATGTCAAGAGACAGATATTTTCAAATTCGCCGTTATTTGCACTTTTGCAATAACGAAGAAGTACCATTGAATGATCGTCTGTATAAAATTGACCAGGTGATGCAAAAATTAAGAAGAAACTTTCAGAACAATTTTTATCCCTTCGAGAACTTAGTTATAGATGAAAGCATGGTGTTGTTTAAAGGAAGGTTGGCATTTAAACAATATATTAAAACTAAAAGACATCGATTTGGAGTTAAGTTATACGTTCTTTGTGACTGTGAAACGGGCTTCGTCTTAGATTTCATCATATACGCGGGTAAAGCTACAAATGTACAAGCTGAAAAAAATCATGATCTGGGTATTACGGGAGCCATTGTTGCCAAACTAATGAGCCCTTTTTTAAATAAAGGGCATTCGCTGTTTACAGATAACTTTTATACGAGCCCGTCTCTGTCAAATTATCTGTTCCAACACAAAACGAACTCTTGCGGCACGGTACGACAAAACCGAAAACAAATGCCAGTATTTGAGAAGAAACTAAAAACTGGTGAAGTCGACTGGAGAAGTAGCAATACTATGTTGGCGCTCAAATGGAAAGACCGCCGCGATGTTATAATGCTGACAACAATACATGCAAATAAAATTGTCTCTCTTCCTAAAATAAGCAGGATTACAAAAAAAAATATAAAGAAGCCGTTATGCGTTGTAGAATATAACACGCATATGGGCGCAGTTGACAGGTCGGACATGATGATCAGTAGCATTGATTGCACTCGTAAATCAATAAAATGGTATGCAAAGGTATTCTTTCATTCTGTGGATGTTACCTTACTAAATTCTCACGCAATGTTTTCGACGCAGCATCCAGAAAAGGTTCCATTTGCAAAGTTTCACTTAGAAGTTATTCGGCAGTTATTGGAAAGGTAAGTTAAAACATCAAGTTTAACAATTAACGTATCTAATAAAAACATTTTTTTTTCAGGTATTCATCGACTGAGGCAAAACCACTTCATTTTGATCAGGGGAATGCAAGGCTGACAGAACGGCATTTTCCGGAATTGGTTCCTAGAAAAGAGGGAAAGAAAAGTGCCACTAGGAGATGCAAAGTCTGCTCCCAGACAAAAGCAGGAATAAAGAAAAGAAAGGAGAGCAGCTACATGTGTAGAGAATGTGACGTTGGGCTATGTGTAGTGCCCTGCTTTCGGATTTATCATCAAGTAGCCGACTTTTAAAAGTTAACTTGCACAATGTTTTTTTTTGTTTTGTTTAGTTCTGAGTGTTTTTATTATATTTTTAGGATTTAACTGTTTGATTTTCATTGAGTAATAAAGTTTTTAAGCTGCATTGCTTACTTCGTTAGTGTACTTTAACCTTTATTACGGTGACGGATATATACGTCATCAGGCGCCCAGACAATGCAAAATGTGCCGGCGGTGGTGACAGTACCGTTAAAAAAGGTCCCGTACTGAAAGGGTTAAGGAATACCTCAGTACCGATTTTCGGGCGGCGGTACAAGTTCGCCAACGGGCCACTTTAGGTCTATTTAATATCATTAACATGCAAAAAGAAGGTAATAGATAAGGACGTCGACCGAGGCGGCACCACCCGCTAGCTCTTCCCACTATCGGAATGTCCGAGTGGAGGGTGGGCTGGAGGGAACATCATCGAAGATAACATTTGTTTCACCAACATCTGCGGGATTAACAGCCACATTGATGTTGTTCATCACTACTTGCAATCCAATCGTCCCGCCATGCTTTTCTTGGCGGAGACAAAAATCTCAGTCTCCACCGATTAACCATCTTAGCTTCCCAAATTACGAGGTGCACTCTAATCTGAGAAAGAACGGGGGAGTTGCGGCTTTTGTCCGCAGCAGTCTCTACTGCTCCAGAGATGTTTCTTTGGAATCAGACCGGCAGGACATTCTGTGGCTTCGCCTCAACTCCAAAACATCCCCCAAATTTATATGCTGCCTTTATTGCTCTCCTTCGGACCATAACTGGGATGACCTACTTCCTGAATATCAATCACCCCGCTTCAGAGGTGGTTCTTCTCGGTGATTTCAATGCTTATAATGAGCTTTGGTTGGGCTCAAACAAGACCGATGCAGCAGGTCGGGCAGTTAAAGCGTTCGCTCTTCTGCAAGGGCTGACAGAGCTGGTCACAAGCCCTACTTTTTTCCCCCGTGTCTCTTCACATACCAGTAGCCTGCTGGATCTCTTTCTGACCACGCCTCCTATCCTTTACAGCACTGCTGTCCTGTCCCCCCTGGGTAACTCAGCCCACGGTGTTGTGGAGGTTAGGTCGGTGATGGAGAGGTGCATAAATCGCGAGCTTCTGGCCTATTTCGAACGTCACCGCTAGTTTAGTCACAGGCAGTATAGTTTCCGGCACCAGCGATCCACAGGGGACCTCTTAGCTTACGTCATTCAATTGTAAACTCATCCAGTTTTATGGTGAGGCTCATGTCATTGCTCTTGACATCACCAAAGCGTTCGCTCAGCTGTGGCACGCTGCCCTCTTAAGCAAACGCCCATCCCCTCCCAGAAAATCTTTGCAGATGGGTGGCCGTAAGATATCCGTCGTAATTAACGGGTTCTCCTCTTCATCCCACAACGTCAACGCGGGTGTTCATCAACGATCGGTCTTGGCTCCGACACTGTACCTCTTACATATCAACGATCTCCTTTGCTGCACGACCAACCCAATCCACAGCTTCGCTGATGACAGCACTCTACATTCAGAGTGACAAGCCGATCTCTGCCGCTGAACTGGACGCTGGGGACGCAACAGTTTAATGCTTCCAAAACACAGTACTGTACTTTGACGAACAAAAAGCGTCCTAGCGCTCATCGGGTTTCGATGGATGGCCGAGTTCTGCCAAAGAGCCATTTATTTCAGCTGGTCGGGTCCAGATCACCGAAGACCTGATATGGCACGAACAAATCTCGTCAAAAGCGGCAGCTGCTGGGAAAAAGCTAAGCTAAGAAGTATTTTTCACCGCATGACCTCCTCACTCTATACAAGGCCCAGATAAGGCCTAGCCTCGAGTAATGCTCACACGTTTGGGGTGCTGCCGCCCCGACTACATTATTTATGCTCGATGCTGTCCAGAGGAGGGCGGTCCGACTGATCGATGACAGACAGTCTCGGGACCCTTTCGTACCGACGGGCCGTCGGCGATCTATCTCTTTTCTACCGCTACACCAACGGGCTTTGCTCCTCAGAGCTCTCTTCTATGATGCCGCCGCGCGATGTGCCTGCCAGATAGACCCGCCTGACTGGCCTCCCATCCTAACCGTGTCGAACTTCGTAGATCCGGAACTTGCCGATACGACCGCTCCTTTATCCCGAGGGTGTCGAGATTCTGGAACAATCTACCACAGGAAGCTTTTCCGAGTTCTACTAACCTTTGGCAGTTCAAAAATCATATCAACAAAATTTCATTGGGATCATCATAACAGCCGCGGTGTCCCGGCATTTAGGCCCAGGTTTCTTCGGTGATTCAAGACATTTTCAGAAGGGAGAGAGTTGATTGAAGATGAACCTCGAAGCGTAAGGCCTTTATCTTCATGAACCGATCGGAATATCGACAGAATCCGGGATCTTGTGCCGTCAGATCGGCGGCTGACAGTCACAATTATCGGGGAAGAAGATTTGACCCACATCACTGTTTATAAGATAAAGGACACCTGGGTCTTACATCACGATAATGCTCCTTGTTAAACAGCAATGACAATAAACGAGTATTGGGCAGTTAAAAACATTCCTGTGGCTCCTCAGCCTCCTTAATCGCATAACTTGAGTCCTTGTGAGTTTTTCTCTGAACGAAGTTGAAAAATAACCCCAAGTAAACTCATTTTGGGACAGTCGAAAACATCCAAACGGCTGTAAACGACCAGCTGAAAGCCATTCCAGCATGAGAGTTCCAGAACTGCTATGAGGAGTGGAATAACTGTCTCTAGCGTTGTGTGGCTTCAGAAGGAAGTTATTTTGAGGGGACAAAATAAAATTGTCATCATATTTGAATAGAAAAATTAAAATAATCAGTCTTGTGACTTAAATTACAAAAAATTTTTGATGCAAAAATACATTTTACTTTTTGGTAGTCACACAAGCACGTATCTTTTTTTCTGCAACCGATTGTCTATTATTGAAGGTTAAACATATTTCACGATGACCTATTTATAGTTTGGATTTAAAACGGGAAAATCGATTTTCCTGTGGTGTTCACTTTTTTCGTTTTCCCTATGCACCGTAAATATATTAAAACATGCAAAATTAAAACATGTGACATAATAAATCAATTTTCAATAATGAGCAATGAAAAATATGATTAATATGATTCCCCTGCCCAAGTTATATATCACTACCTATACATTACTAATTAACTTTCAAATGCTATATTAAGCTCAAAACAGTTCTTCAAAACTGCTTTATTTGGTCAATGACAGTTTTTATTGCCTCCTGAAACATTCAAATTGCGTGACATGCAAGGTTTTTGAAACGGCCGATTCAGTCGTAAATATAAGTATGAGTATTTTGGCATAGGTATTGCTTTCGATTAAGTTGGGTACTTCTAGTTAACCAATGGCTCAACATAGTAACATTTTCACCCACACATTTACTCAAAAACATTTGAAATACACCTATATTCCCTCTAGAACAATATAGCAAATTTGTTATGAAAATAATCTTTAATCGGTTTGTACACATGGTACCTAAACGATACCATTTCGGGCATATTTCTAACCCCACTTAACAAACTGTAATCAGTTTCAAGGATTATAACAGCCAAGAAAATCGTAACAAGTGTTACAATAATGAGAGATGGTACAAAAGCTCCTAAAAGATTGAATTTTTTGCACTTAGTTTGAGTAGTTATAGATGTTGTTTGTAAGGGGACACTACTATTTGGCAGGCACAATCGCCCATCTACCTGAGTATGAGATAACGGCGTTTGACTTCGACTGGACCTGTGGGAAGGGTTGGTCGTATCATAGCGGTAACTGTTGTCAATCAGCTGAGATTCTGAAGACGAATGCTCGAAAGAGTCACGGAAGTAGTAGTCACTGAAACGATCCATAGAATCTTCTTTCAGTACTGAAAAATAAAAAATCGTGTCAAGTAGATTGACCCCCAGTCCCTCTCTCCACAGCTCCTATTTTATTACCTTTTCAATTTATGTTTATGTCCTTTTTAAAACAATCTCTTTTGTTTTATTTGCGCATACCAACATATTTGTCTTTAAAGGGTTCAAGCAAATAGTGTTTTTCAAGCAGTTCAATTAGGCAAATTGAAAAGATGTAGGAGTAGCCAAATCCAATTTATTTTGCGTAACTTAGACCAGGGGATAGCGAGTGGCGCCAGCTTTTTTGTGAGTGGTACAAAAATAAGCGATCCAAGTTGCAATACCTCTGTCATTTTCCGCCCTTCAAACATACCGAATTGCAACGTTGTATTAGCGCTGAAGACAGTCTAAATAGCATTACTGATACTTGAAGGTAATGTCCGAGCAATAAATTATAGATAAAAGGAATACGATATTCTATCGGGTCGCGCAGCTTGGTGGGCTGTTGCTGTTAATTAAATTAATTAAATTTCTAATATGATGTAATTTTCAAAGCAGATGACATCTTTATTTGTAAAATATCTCCAAGCTCTTGAAAAGCAAAATATTTCTTTCAAATTTAAATATTCAGGGAGAAGCCGGTTGTTTGATTAATTTTGATATGGTAGATTGGATGATGTTTGGTATTGAATAGACAAGCCGTAAGTACTAGGCTACCGAACATAGTTACGAATGGAAAATGAACATTTTCATCTAAAATGTATATACGAAAAACACTTAGATTAAGAAATTAACGCTTGAACTATTTATCCTTCTTGCAACTGTTTCCATAAGCTAAGAAAAGTATTTTACTAGAATCTAGTTTAACCACTTTCTGTGTCTATACAAAACTGCATTCTGGTCTACATGCTTCCTACTTTGTAAACATACTAGTCGGTTCAGCCACTTTAAGTATATAGAATTTTTGCTTTTACAGAAACCCTCCCAATGCTAACACAAACAGTTATGATTTGTTAATTTTATTCATCAGGGACTGCCTAGTTTAGTCCGATGACGGAAGTTTGACACGTGCTCATAAAAGTGATTTGTAGACGTGCCACTGTTGTGGTTGATTTTGAGCTAGTAATAGTTTCCTATAGATTGAGATACTTCTCAAGCAGAGGTGTTATCCAGGAAAAAATCAGGGGGGAGGCTCAGGATCGCTTAGTCCAAGGAGCTACACTTAACAGAAGGTATAACATGCTGTAATCTGTAGGAGAAGCTTAATGAGCTGTTGCGCTTAGAAAGGGGAGACTCCTAAGAGCCCCAAAGCCTTCCTATAAATACGCCAGTGTGCCCATATCAGAACAGGAACAGAGGCTTAGAGTCTGTGGGCCTAGTTCAAAGAGTTTCAGGCTTCTCTCCAATATCTTTGGAATTGCACCGTTCCAGCGGCGGCGACGAAGTAAATAGGAAATGAATAAGTCCTTCTTGATTCAATTTACATATTAATGCATTGATCAAAGAAATTATCCTGTTTAGTCATAAAACATTACCAGACATTTGAGAAACAAAATAATCTTTTAAATTTTAGGTATTAAGAGTAATCCATGTAATTTTTTCTTATGAATGTGGAAATGGAACAACCAGCTTATGAAGTCGGCGGCGCGGCACCTCAAAGACAAAAGCTATATTTTGTGTTTTTGGCTCACAAAGAAATTGATAGTAGCTAGAAAAAAGTCGTATTTTTCTAGTTAACTCTTACGTTTAGCAGATTTAGCATGGGTATCAATCAGTTGCTGTTTGAGTGTTTTGGAGCAATCGTGTTGCACAACCTACCTTTTTGGCTTGTCTATTGAATACAAAATATTTAACCTACCATAGAAAAATTCATCTCTCAATCTCTGTGTGGGATATGACCAGTTATTAATCAGACCGTCGGCAATGAAAGATCAGGGGAGCAGACAGAAGACACACTTCGACCTGTGACCTGCCCGTATGTACAGCTTCCCTCTTTTTTTGAGTATAATTTATTGCCGGTTTATTTCTTTCATCTCCTTTGGCGGTTATCTGAGTATTCGATAACCACCTGATAGTGCTACGGCTGTCTGGTGGATTACTCAAAGCAAAAGCTACTCATACACGCTAATGTATACTAAAAGAACATGCGATAAACCGGTTACAACAACAATAAGAGCTTTGAGCGTAGCAACCAGTATTCTTAAAGAAATTTTACATGGACATTGGATTTACAAAACACTTTAAGAAGTGTGTATATTTCATATTTTCATCTCTTGTGTTATGACGATTTCAAACCAGGAAAGATTATATTACTTTACTCCACCCACAAATCTGCCGTTGGTAATAGAGGAAAAATTAAAGTGAGCATTTAACAGACAAATTGCTTATGGGTGAAAGACAAAAGGTAAGAAATAAAAGACTCTGACTGGAATGAAGCTTTTCAAACGCTTGGAGATTATCGGTATGGATTCGTGTCGTGTATCGGCGGAGTGTGGGTAGAGACACAGAGGGACAGTTGATCATGATTTTTTCACCAAAATATTCATACAGATCAGACAGTGGCGGAATCATGAATTTGAAACCAGGCATCTATGCATATTATTAGCGTGTATGTCCAGCTTTACATACACCCTTCAACTGGATAGATACACCAACACACATGCCGCTATACAATAGGTTTTTTTTCTTTATGTTTTATTGCCTGTAAACTACCAAGATATACTCCAATAAAGAGAAGAAGGGTTACTGGCGGCTGGTTCATCTGAATGGGTTCCCTACTTTTAATTGATTTCTACAGAGTAATGCGTAGTTTGGCATGTCATAGAGTAATTGTGTTTATATAGGGTAATCCGTATTATTATTTTTACTGTCTAAACGATATACCTATGATACATAGCATTTTCTGGAAGCTAGGCTTGAAAAACAGGTGCTTTAGCGTTCCACCGATTGCGATAACCCACCTGTCGTTCTGGTTTTCTTGACACTGTGCAATCTCAGTGATTGCTGTACTGATTCTAACAAAGCTTGTAATGGATTACTGTACGGTAACAATTTTTAAAATGGGTTTAAGGGCGCTAAATCTAGTAACCACAAAAGAAAGCAGATTCTCCAAAATTTGTGCTTACATCCTAAAAGCTTTTTCAGTGTAGATGAAGACAATAACTTTGTTTTTTAAATGTTCGTATTTATTTTTCGATGGACATGCATAATGTAGACTGAAGAGTATAAATATAATACAAAAAAATGGAACATGACATCTATTTTCTCGCAACAGACTTGGACAATCTACAGCCGATGTTGCAACAAGCAATTCATACTTTTTGGGTATATCATGAAGCGTCATAAAAATATAAAACTCAAAATACTTTGAAAATGTTTGCCTTTGCTTATTGACGTAGGATATAAAACTATATAACAAATGTCTATCGTATTTTCATCTTTTTTGTACTACCCACTCATGAATCACAAAAATTTAGTTGTTCAATAAAAAGAGTTCCAGTACCGTGTAACTTAAAACTAATAACTTTTTAGGAGAGGAAAAAGAACGGTAGGTCTTTGGATTCGCTATTGAATAATCTTATAGTCCTCCATGTTTTTCTAGTCGCAAATGAAACCTCATATGCTAGTAGTGCCTACTGATGACGTTCCCGGTAATCACGGTGGATTTTTCAAGTAAATACATAAAATATTGTTTAGAGTTTCGTGGAGTTACAACAAAAGCGACGATGTCTCAAATTCCAAATACTATGTTGGAATAACAATACTCGCCTTTACATGATTAGCGGAGCATTGAAATACCAGAAATCAGCTTCCTGCTAGTTTGGCGACACGTAAAACACTCCTGACTGTGTTCTGCGGTCAACTACCTGCAGGTGACCTTCATTACCTGGATGTTTACCTTCCTCCTCATTACGTGCTATATCACAGATACCACAGTTAAACTGCATGTAGGATTTTCAATACCACAATATAATTCCAGACACCTCGCCAAAAACATATCATTCGTCCACTACCTAAATGCTTATTGAACCACCTTAGAGGCTAATGCGATGTTAGGTATATTTGGAGGACAGAAAATGAAGGAGGTATGTGCAACTGGAAGGTGTGAAAAAGATGTTAATTTTTCTTCAAAGATAACATGGTCCGATGAGAGTGTGGTCACTAATAATGATATCTTTAATCGCCGCAACACTCATGAATGGGCTCAAGAAAAAGTTTTGGGTTTAATATGTGATGTGAAATTCTAGGGACCAAAATATTGGGTCAATTTATTTTCCACAACTCATTAACTTCAGAACGGTACCTTTAATTGATACAACATGATCTAGAAACTGCCTGGATAATTCATCTTTGACACAGGTTCATAGCTGTTGATTTCAACAAGACGGTGCTCCGGCAAGTTCGAGAGTATCTTTATCAGCGATTTCCCGAAAGGTGGATTGGAACTTCCACTGAAGTTCCTGGCCAGCGCGTTCCTAAGATTTAACTTCTCTGGACCTTTTTATTTTTATAAAATTTTACCCCATAATATCATTATGTTATATGTAATATGTATCTATCAGTAATCACATAATCTCATCATCAAGCATTTGTTTGCAACGCCTATTTAAAAAAAATCAGAAAAAGCGATGTTGTCCTTATAACCACGAAAATAAAAGTGACATGTGAACCATCGTTGAATTCGTATAAAAAAATGCTACTAGATGCAGGGTGTACTTTTTCGAACCTTATAAAAAATAAAGTTGATGATGGTTTCTCAAAAATGAACCGGCGTGCACAACATTTAAAAACACCATCATGTAGTGCCTAAAAAGTGCCAATGAAAAAGTTCGATTAGTCTTTTGATATTTCTCAAAAGGGGAAAAAACGATTTGGCCAAATTTTAGTTTTTCCCAAATACCTCAGTAAGCCATAAAAAGTTTTTCAGCGGACTGTAAATACGCCCCCAAAGAACACAGCTTTCTCTTTTTAACCTAACCTAAGCTGTATATCCCACAAGTATTGAAATCCCCATGCACAGGATCCTTATAGTGAGTCGAATGGAGTTCAGTTCTTTTCATTTAGTGGTTACGTCAAAAAGTCATACGAAATAAGTATTAAGCATATCGTCTTAAACATTTCGTTTTTCCTTGCTTTTTGACCTTATAATTATTTTTGGGTGAAGTAACAAGATATTTTTGGGGTGGTTACGAATGGAATGATTTTCAAACTTTGTTTTTATAGGGTTCTGAACGTTATCATTATTTTAGGCCAAGGAGCATAAAGTTTCTACATACATTTTCAAGGTGGGGAAAAGTGAAAACAAAAATATTGAATTTATGAAATCGTTTTGATCCTCAAAAACTACGCAAAAATATGAGACATTTACCAGTTGTTCTAAGTTTGTTATACCCTAACGCTTCATGATCTTCGGTGACGGTTTCTAAGGCAGCAACATCATTGTAAGTAGCAAAAGGATAACAGTCCAATCCAGACAAAAGGCCTGTACTACCGCTGGGCTCCATTCTGGATCCTCCAACATCTGAATGACTAGATTTTGGTAAATTGCTATATCCTGGAAAGAAAAGTGGTACGGTTAGTTGTCCATTAATCATAACATTATATTGGTCACTATATACTACTTCTGATACAACTGTATCAAGTTTAATCTGTTTGTACCTACAGGAGACGGAAATTGAAAAGATCAGGGTTTAAATTCTATCTTGATCTTACTTGACTTTTCAAAGGCATTTGATACGATCAATCACGTATGCGAAGCTTAGGTATTATGGTTTTAGTGAAGCCGCAAGATTTCTGTCAATGGATCTCATTCTATAAATATATAAATTTTATCTAGTGTGCCGCAAGGCTCCTTATTGGGTTCTCTTCTCTCCATTATTTACACTGCAGACATTTTAAATAGCATTCAGAACTGCAAAGTTCAGGCATATGCCGATGATACTTGGCTATATTTTTGTTTTCACTCCTATGCTCATATTGCCGAGGTTACGGTTAACAATGAGTTGAACACCTACAGTCACATAATTTACAACTCAATTCATATTGATTTAATGAAAAATAGTGTGACTTCAGATTGACGGTGCTCTTCTTGAAGTCGGCGATTATGCTAGGAATTTGGGTCTTATTAGTGATAACAATTTGCGCTTTTCTGAGCATGTAAAAATACTCATAAGTGAGGCATCAATGAAGCTAATTTGAGCAATAGGCATATACTTCATTTTAAAATGAAGAGAGCATTCTGTGAACTGCTAATTTTGAGTCATTTTAGTTATTGTGACTTTATATGTATGTTTAGTGGTCTCTGACAGATTGCATATCCAAATAATCCAGCATAGCTGCTGCAGGTTAGTGTATGAGATAAAGAAGTATGAGCACATTTCACATAAAATCAAGGAGTGTCATTGGTTATATATGGAAAATAGAAGATATCTTCATTTGAAAAAAATTAACTCACAAAATTTTTAATGGCATCTATTCTTATGATTCTCTCTGCGCTAGCTTTTCAACCCAGTCTTCAGGTCATTATGTGAACGTTAGAGGTAAATTTATAATGCTGACCCAGCATTCACTTTGCTGCCAGAAGAGTTTAGATTATTAAATATTAATAAATTGAAAAAACAGTTACTCGACGGACAATGAAAAATATGAAATGGCTTCACCATTAATTTTATACTCCCTCCTATGCTCTACTTTTTTTATCATATTAGAAACATACTTTTTCAACCAGAGTATTTACATATTTATGTATATTGCATTGTTTGTTTGCTTTTTGCGTAATATTTATCGTGATTAATCTGATTATTTTACTGAAATAAAAGACTTTTATTATCATATGTGATTTCATTTGGCAAGAGCAACATGGGGTCCTAAAAGAATGAAAACCATAGGATAATACACAGGGTAAATTAACTGGGTCAGGCAGTTTTAAGCAACAGATAGAATCAGAGCTTGATTTGGATCCCAAAGACCTGTTTATGAATGCACTCTTAAACGAATTTTATTTTCAATGTTTGTCAGGCCTGAAACCAAAGTTAAATATGTGGTTAAAATTGTCAAATGCTTAAAAAATAAAAAGAGTAGTGGTGAAGATGAAATATCCAGTATAATCATAAAAAATTGCATTGATTACATTGTAGATCCATTTATCCTGATCAATTAAAAACAGCAATCTTGTCATTCCAGTTTAAAAGAATAAAGGTGATTTGTCATATTTTGATAGTTTCAGACCCATAAGCTTATCAGTTTTTTTTTTTAAATATTTCAGATGATAATGAATAACAGAATATTGAATTTTTTAACTCTAAATGATATGATAAAGGAAACTCTACATGGTTATATTAAAGGAAAATCAACTCTTTCAGCTGCTTATAAGTTTATTCAAAATATTATAGAAGACTTGGACAACAATAAGAGTGTTCAGGGTATCTTTCTTGACCTTACCAAAGCATATGACTGCCTAGATCACAGTATATTAATGCAAAAATTAGAAATATATGGAATTAGAGGACCAGCACTTTCTAGAATGATACCATAAGCAAAAAGTAAAACTGTTGGGACGTAATGGAACAGCTATTTCGAATGAGCTTAATGTTAAAACAAGGGTGCATTAGGGTAGTTTATTAGGTCCGACATTGTTTGAAATTTTTTTAAATGACATTGACACCTGTATCAAACTTGATGGATGCAAAATCACGAAGTATGCAGATGACACAAATTGGTTCATAACTGCTACAGATCCTGAGAATGCATGTGATGAGGGGGGATATAATATGGACAATGTACGAAACTAGTTTTTTAACAATAGGCTAATTCTTAATAAAACTAAGACTTGTGCTACTCACTGTAGAACAAATTTTCAAAATGCAATTGGTACAACAATAACAGTGCTAGATTTCTTGGTCTTGAATTAGATAGTTACATCAGGTGGGATAGGTTATTTAAGAAAGAAGCTCAACAAGGTATGTTATCCTATAAGAATTATTGCTAAATATTTGGATAGAAAAACTTTGAAAGCTGTGTGTCAATCAAATTTTGAATCTAGATTAAGGTAAGGAGTTATGGAATGTTATTCGGAAGCTGTAGCTTTGATGAAATTTTTGTAATACAAAAGGGAATTTCGAGAAATATTTCAGGTTTGAAGTTGAATGAATCATGTAGAGGCAAATTCCAGCAATTCGGTATGTTAACAGTTTTTGGAGTGTTTATTCAAAAGAGCCTCATATATCTATTTAAAAATAAGCATATGTTCACAGTTAATGAGCCTACAAGTAACCATACTAGAGTTTTTAACTATATTTATCCTAAGCATAGATTAGCATTGTTTGAAAAAGGACCTCTTTATAATTGTCTAAAACTTTTTAATCATTTACCAACACTTGTGAAAAAGATTTTAAAACTAAGAGCATTAAAAAAATATTATATAACCATACACAATCGATGCATTTTTCAAGACAGATTTGAATAATATGCTTTAAAGCAAGATTTTATCCTCAATTTTGTTTGGTTGACACTATTTGTATCACAAGTGGTTTACATCTGTTGTATAGCATTTGTATTTGCAAATAAAGACTATTGTCACTGTTAAGTTTCAGATGTAACCCTATATTTTTCAGTTTTTGAGTTTTTTACCTAAATGGGGTTGCAAGGGTGTAGAAGGGGTAGCAGGTACACTAGAAGCTTTTCTTCTCACGCTGGACGTTCTTTGAATGATGGGCTCCTCTCTATTTGTATTTTCTTCCAAGATTTCCTTTTCTGTCCTACCAGTATATTTGAATTTTGTTCCCCAGGAGAAAAAACCACCACCGGTAACCACTGTCGGCGCGTCGGAGCTCGTCGGCAAACTGCAAGATAATTCTATATTATACAAGCTGTTACCTAAGTATTTGGCATAACTTCAAGGAGTAATTCTTTGATCGAATTCAAGAAGAAAAGTTCATCATATACGAGGAGATACCCAAGAATAACCGGAATAGCATTGCAGTGGGCAGAGCTTGTGTAGTACACATTTCTGCCCCTAAAGGCGTACAGCGCAACTCATTACCAGTTCAGTGCCACCTGAAATCTCGATCTGGCTTGTTTAGTTCCTCTGTAGTCATTATTTTTGCTCGAGTTGTTTCGTGCTTGTTTCGTTTTCTACGATGGCAAGCTTTAGTAAGCAACGTGCAGCTTTGAAATGTTGCTTTCTAATTGGTAAAAATGCTGCTGAAACTGTTTTAATGTTGAAAATACGAGTAGCTTACAAAGATGATGCTGTGGGAAAAACTCAGGTGTACGAGTGGTTTGCTCGATTTAAAAATGGCGACATGTTGATTGATGACACACCTCGCTCTTGACGTCCATCAACTGCCCGAATCGATGAAAATGTTGAAAAAATTCGAGAGCTTGTGCTATCTGGAGGTTTTAAGACGATTGCGAAACAGTGTTCGGCAAAAAAGACTCGATTTGTGGCAGTCAGGAGACTGGTTCTTCCACCACAATAATGCACCTGCGCACACAGCCATCTCTGTTTCCGGCTAAAAATGGCATGGTTCCGCTGCCTTCGCACCTTATTCGCCTGACCTGGCTCCGTGCGACTTTTTCTTATTTCCACGGATGAAAAGGGGCATTAAAGGACGCCGCTTTGATGGCATTGAAGAGGTCAAGAAAAAGGAGGGAGGAGCTGTCAGACATTTCTAAGCAAGACTTCAAAAAATGTTTCGAGCAGTGGAAGCACTGGCGGGACAAGTGTATTAGTTGTGTTGGGCAGTATTTTGAAGGAGATTAGGTTACTTTGTGAAAAAGTTGAAAATAAGTAGCTTTTAAAAAATAATTCCGGTTTTTTCTGTACCCCCTCGTACACTACCATTCGAAAGTTTCTGGACACTTGACAACTGATATTTAAAACTGAGAAAAGACATGGTGGAGGAGGGCCATACACAGGGATAATATTTTTCATTTTTTTACAATGAAATTTTTTAAGAAATTTGAATATTTAACATACATAAATGCTCATACAAGATGGCTTTACATGAACATGTTTGAAAATAAAAATCGCACTGCATTTAAATTCACAACTCAAAAATATACCTGTCCAGTTTGGTTCTAAAAACATTATAATATGAAATTCCCACATAAGAGATGAGCCGATTCAGAGTGAGACTTTGAACATGTCTTGTACTAAATCCATTATAGGACAACACGTTATTATGTCTCAAATTTCCGTGTTTAAATGAAAGATTTATTCTTCGTAACAACACGGCAGATTCGATTTTATTATTTTATAAATTAAAAATAAGGCTCAAGTCCAAAAAGATTCTTCCATCTTCAAACAAAAAAATGAGTTATCCTCCTCATGGAGTCAAACACTAGAAGTTTATTTCCCTGTCCCTATCCTATAACGTAGATGCCATAAAAACTATTTTTATAACGATCTTACTAATCAGGCAAAAAGCTTGAGCATACTATTCAAGTCTCAAAGATCTAACTCTCTTCTACTGCTACGCCAGCGAGCTTTGCTCCTCAGAGCTTTCCTCCATGATGCTGTCGCGCGATGTGGCTGCCAGACAGACCCGCCTGACTTCAACCTCCCATCCTAACCATGTCGCACATCGTACATCCAGAACTGGCCGATACGACCGCTCCTTTGTCGCTAGGGTATCGAGATTTCGGAACAATCTACATGGGGAGGCTTTTCCCAGTTCTATTAACCTTGGACAGTTCAAAAATCAGATTAAAAATTTCTCTATGCTCCTTATAGCAGCCGCCGTGTCCTGGCATTTAGGCTTATGCCTGCGCGGATGCTTCTGTGTAAAAAATATAGTGTTTGTAGTAAAAAAATGTAAGCATACCTTGTTTGAGAGAGCCATTATTCATTTCGGAACATTAAATTTCGCCCATTAATGGCTTGCTTGTCAACCTAGGTATGTAATGTAGTAATTTTGTACTTACGTAAAAAATAACATCTGTTCAATGGCACATTTCCAAACATGTCGACAAGCTTGACCTGAAGGACATTTGAATCCTACAGTATGTTTCTTCTGAAAAAATACTCGTGATATATGTTTTATATTTGGAGGCACGAGGTCAGATTATACAGCAACTATTTACGTTTTCTATAAACTTACATCATTTGAGTTTAAATGTATTATGAACATTTTCCCTTCATAATTGATCTTTTGTACATCGGGCCAGCGGAAATGGTGAGTTTTTCTACTCCCTTGGAAGGTTAAGATACCGCTATAGTTTATACCTAAGTAAAGTTGCGTACCTTTGTGGTCCTGTAATAAACTCTGTTTAACAGGAGGTAATACATTGTGTAACTTATACTGCTTCAAAAAATTTAACACATCATACCGGTAGAATATAAAACAGTGATGGTTTTAATTGAGAAAAAACATGTAAATGATTGTTGTAAGTTAATCAGGAGTAAACACTCGTTCCTCAAGCTAAGCCGGCCATGATTTATCTTGAACAAGAAGCAATTTCTCAAAATAGGTTGGATTCCTAATTTTCATACTCTGTACGTTTTGTGTTTTTTAATATTCAAATCGATCGAAAATTCACACTGCACTTATTATCGGGCCGACTATATAGAGTGTTTTTTAAGTTGAGTCAATTATTTTAACTGCTTGTAGGACTCGTCATCTATATAGAAGTTGCATAATAGAAATAGTAAAAGGAATGGTATGGTTTTCAGTACGGTATGGTTCGATCAGTTGTATCAGTCTGTTAATAGTCCGTATACTTTCATTTGTCTGATTATTTTGTGCGAAAAAATGGCCCATGTTTACGAAAACAATGAACTAGGAGCCATAATACTAACATACGGAGAGTGCCATCAAAATGCAGCCGCAGCATGCAGATTGTATGCGGAAAGGTTTCATTTCAGAAATCATCCTGCCCATCGGATATTTGTAAATTTAGTTATTAGACTTCGTGACACATGATATTTAAAAGAACAACGAGGAGGTCACGCTGGACGACCTGCTCAACTTGAAATCTTTAGAAATGGTCGAAGACGACCCAACAATGAGTACTACAGCCATACTACCTCAAGTTGAAGTTTCTCATAATAAAGTGTGTAAAACAATAGACAATAACAGTATTATCCTTATCATTATCAACGGGTACAAGCGTTGCAACCTGAAAATCATCCTAGAAGAGTCGCATTTCGCCAGTGGCTTTTAGAGCAGTTCGTCAGAAATGAAGATTTTTACGAAATTAATTTTGTGTACAGATGAGGCCACATTTACACGAAATGGAGTGCACAATTTCCACAACAATCATGTTTGGGCAGTAGAAAATTCCCATGCTGTAAAAATAACTCATTTTTAACATAGATTTTCATTAAATGTTTGGGCTGTTCGACACAACCTGCCACAATTATAAGAAGATGTTCCTCTAGATGTGAGGCAGAATATGTGGTTCCTACATATTATGTTCCATCGAGTTAGAAGGTTCACAAAAGTGAGTTTTGCGAGAAATTAACAAAAAAAGTAGTGTTTTAGTTCATCAAAAATTGTGAAATCTGTTCAAGTAGTAGTTGGTATGATAGTGAACCGCTTCGTGAAATAATCAAAAGAAAATCTCGAAGGGTGCGTAAGTTACAACGCTTCACTTTTTATTCTCCGCATATAAACAAACTGAACCGATACGAAAACGTCACGCCCACGATTAGGAAGGGGTACGCTGACTTCAGCTAGACTCTATCGATATTCCCAAATTTTGGTGGTGCCAATGATCTTGCTACAGCTGCGAACAGCGTACGTAGCATTCGATTTAAGACAGCACAAGTTACGCGATTATGGTAGAAAAACGACATATTTAATCTAATTACTAACTCGAATAAAGAACTGAAAAGTGAAATACAACAATTAAATAGACACATCTCAGAAGTCAAACTAGAAATAGAACATAAAAACAATAGGCTTAAAAACATTGAAGAAAAGAATAAATCACTGAAAAACAGGGTGCATTTACTCGAAAACAAGTTAAAAAAATATAATGTAATTGTATACGGCATAAAGGAGGAGGATGAGGAACCAGTAGAAATAGCTAGACATTTCATCGAAAAAAATTGGAAATTCATATCGATATAACCCAAATAAGAGGCTCGTATCGTATAGGGAAAAAAGAGAACCACCAAGAAAAGCCCAGACCGCTGCTAATTGAATTACCTAACTACTCGGCTAAAAAGAATATCTTAATCAAAGCTAAAAAGTTACCAAAATGGTCCGATGTGTTTGTTAGTACCGACTACACAAAAGACGAATATGTAAAACGAAAAGTACCACACGCACACTTACAACAAGCCAGACAAGCTAAACTCAATATATCTACATAAAACATAATATATTATGCGTGAAATGGTGACCCATATACGAGCCCCTTCCCACTTCAGTTGGCCCAACTAATGAAATCTTAGTTCTTTTCATATCAAACACAAATAATAAAAATGTAGCAGGGTGTTATAGGTTCAAAATATTAACAATGAATATTTTGATAATATATAGTAGAAAACACCAAGTTTATCACTCCCTAATAAAATTTGCAGATTAAAAATAACACATGTTGCAATTACAGCATATCAACCTATTTTCATTTCAATGCAAAATAAGTCTATAACACATAGGTGGCTGTGAAAAATGAAAGCCATGACAATTGTTTCTATTAATCACACCTGTCAGAATACGTTTAAAATAGTTTTGGGTGGTTAAGGTTTTCAAAATGGGTAGAGGAAAGGTTATTAGTGAGAAAATTCGGTTACTGATAATTAAATTTTTTAATTCTGGGAAATCAAACTCAGAAATTGCAACTTTGTTAGACTTATCGCGGTACAGTGTGAGAAATATTGTTAGAAGATGTAACGTAACTGGTTCAGTTAATATTAAGCCACGATATGTGAAAAAAAGTAATATCACAAATGTCGACCGAAGAGCATTAAGAAGAATAATCATGAAAAACAGGCATGCCAATTATTTACAATTAAGTGCTCTGTGGTGTGACGCTGTTGGAAGGAGAATTTCGAGGTCCACAACTCATAGAGAGGCACACAAACTGGGATTTAGCACTTGCAAGGTAAGTTTTCTTATAAAAAAAGTGAAGTAAAAACCCTAAAGTTGCACAACTTGTTTATAGGCCAAAGAAAAGCCACTATTAACTCCACTGCAAAAGAAAAATCGGCTTAGATGGGTTAAAGAACATATGCAATGGACACCTCAACAATGGTGTGCAATACAATGGAGTGATGAGGCCCGATTCGAAGTTTGTGTTGGTGATGTCGCAGTAGAGTTATTCGCAAAAAAATGAAGCATTCCATGTTGACTGTCTGAAGAGAAAAGTGAAATTTCCAGCATCCATTATGGTCTGGGGCAGTAAGTATGTCATCAAAAGGAGTAGGAATTTTATTGATGGAAATGTGAATACAAACAAATATTTGGCAATTTTAGAAGAATCGCTTTTACCACTGATGGAAGAATGTTTGACATCCGGCCAAGATTTTGTGTTTCAGCAAGATGGCGCAGCGTGCCATACCACAAAAAAGGCTATAAAATGGATGGAAGAAAATAATGTACCACTTTTGAAATGGGTTTCTAGCAGTCCAGATCTGTCACCTATTGAAACTTTGTGGCACGAGATGAAAAAGGTTCTACGACAACATCCTGCTCGTACCGAACTGAGACAAAAGCTTCAAGAAATATTGTTTTACATCAAATGTTTGCCAAAACTTGGTTAACACTATGCCCCAAAGAATTTCAGCCGTAATAAAAAACAGAGGTGATGTTACCCAATGGTAATCTTTCAATTGTTGCTTTGTTAACTTCGCGCATTTATTCGCACATTGTTTATTTGTTCAGATTATTGGTCTAAGTGATTTCAAATATGTATTTTTTACGACTAGAGTGTATCTAAAATGTTTTTGACAAAATAAATTGTTTTAGAAGTAAATAGTTTCGTCATGTTTAGTTTATAAAGGCATATTTTGGTACAAATCTTGAAGTGGGCCAACTGAAGTGGAAAGGGGCTCGTACATACGAAACATTGCAACAGAACGATATTCTTGAAATCCCAGCAACTACTCTACGATACGTAACATCAAAACCTGGTTCAAACAAAAAGAACATAAACGGCAACACGACCGCAACCGCCACTACCACCACCAGTGAGGCTACAAGAGGATAAAAGAGACCTTTTGAAGAAAGGGTTTCTGAAAAAGCTAAAGTATTTATACAATAAGAAGGTCCTAGGCTAAGAGCAACTTCAAGCCGTAATGGCTTCGTACAAAGGGTACTATAAAAGTTCTGCAATACAGCTTGGTTTATTGACTTCGATCAAATTAATTTCCACTACATTCAAAACACTTCTGCATTCGCCGAAACTAGTCTTTGAACCAGCTCTGTCAAGTTTCACCCGGAAGTGCGGCACACTCGTTGTCCTAAGCTCTCAGAAGGTCCTCATCGATATTTTAGCTTTATTTTCACATGCGGAAACAGTATAAAGTCGCAGGAAGCAAGATCTGGACTGTAAGGAGGCTGCTTAATAAGTTTCAGTCCAGTAGTAGTTAAATACTCGGTGCTGGCTTTGGCGCGGTGAGCTGAAGCGTTGTCATGGTGGAGGTACCAAGTGTCCATTCTTGACTTTGGCCACAGACTTTTCATAGACTCTATGACTTTAGGCAGGCACTTTTCCATGTACCACTTAGCTGTGACTGTCTTCTGTCCCGCTCGATTTGGAAAATACAGCTATAATTTTTTTCTTAACACATTGGGATTTTCTGACAGCTACGGGTGTGTCCTCATCATCAAAGACCCAAACTTTGTTTTGAGCCTTGGTCGGCACATCGTAATAATAGAGCCAAGTCTCGTCACCTACCATGATGCTGTTCCCATACCGAGATTGCCCCTTATCAAACATTTTCAGCATCTTTCGGCACCAAGTCGTAGGACGAGTCTTCTGCTCTTCCGTCAGACCGGTACCCAGAGAGAACAAAGTTTCCCTACGTGTAAATGGCCATGCAGAATCGAATTAATTGCTGGTGCATGAAGGTGTAAGGTCTTCTCTATCTGTTGGTATGCCACTCTCCGGTCTTGGTCAAGCATTTTCCTCACAGCAGTAATGTTTTCCTCTGTTACTGACGTTCGCCGCCTTCCTGCCCTCTCAGCGTTCTCCAGAGTGAAAATGCCCCTTTGGAATTCTCTGTACCACCTGAATATAGTCGTACGATGAGGACAATCATTATTTAATGCAAGCGTCATTTCTCCTAAGCACTGGTCTATGCTTAAACCACGCAAAAAGTTATTCCGTAAATCTGCTCATATTTTACTACGTGACCACGATGCTATAATCCGCACTTTACACTGTCAATACAAATGAACAACTAAATTAACAGACGTGCTGCTGGCGGCTATCTGCACTCATGGACATGTCTCAACATGCAGTAACATGCAGCCTTCTGCGTCCCTTTGTTAAGTCATATTGCAAAACTTTTATAGTACCCTTTGTATATTCGGGGCTTTCAGATAGACAAAATCAATACCAAAAACGTGAATTCAGTTCATGAATGCAATAACATTTTAAATTCAGAACTCAACAGAGAAAAATTTGCAATACTACATCTAAATATTAGAAGCATAAATAAAAATTTCGATGAATTTAAGGTCTTACTGCACGGAATTAATACAACTTTTGATTATATAGTTCTATCAGAATTTTGTAAAGTTAATGATGTATCATTATATCAATTGGAAAACTATCACACATAGGTACTATAACCATGTATGCCAACAAGAACATTGAAGTAATAATAAATAATAATTGAATAATTTTGTACAGCTGCCCAACACAACATAAACATTTTACAGATTTCTATAACAAAAACTAAAAATAATATACTGGTCTCAGCGATTTATAGATCACCGTCATTTGACGCATTATCTTTTGTCAATGATTTGGAGACATACCTCGAAAACTTTAGCAAAAAAATGGGCTCTCACCTTCTGGCAGGTGATATAAATATTAATACCATGGAAAATTCTGAGTTATCTGAAAAATATCTGAATTTCTTAGTCATGCACAGTCTTATTCCGGAAATAAATGACGAGATCATATAAACATTATTAGTACCATTGGTGGTCATCACATGAATTCAGTCATATTCCAAAATTGTATAACTGACCACAACCATGCTAGAAATAATTTTCCCTAAGAACAACATCAAGAATATAAGCAAAAGTTTTGTGCTCAAAACAAATGAATCTAGGTTATTTGCTATTTTAAAACGGCAAACGTGGACATCGGTATATAGTTCAGTTAACACACAACAACCTACAGAAACCTTCATACACACATTGAATGATAGCATCGCAAAATGTATATCCAAAATTAGAATCAAAAATAACAAGAGATCGAGAAAAATATGGATGAACTCTGCCTTAGTAAGCTCTATAAATAAGAAAAACGAACTATATCACGAAATGATAAAAGAACCCACAGAAAACAATATAAAAGAATTCAGAGACTATGGAAACTTGTTAAATGATATAATAAAAATAGGGAACACGGAATTTCATGATAATAAGATAAAGCAAAACAATAACAGCAGTAGAATACTTGGGGAATGTGTGAAAGACATCTCTGGCAGGGAAAATAAAAATAAGACAATCACTAAAATCAAGAATGAGGACAACAAATATGCTACTGCTCGGGAGTTTGTAAAACATTTCACAAATATCGGCAAAAAGCTTGCGGAGAAAATACTACAGACACGCCCTATCAAGCAAATGCATAAGCTCAGTAATTCACTTTACTTAGACAATACCAATGGAAATGAAGTTATAAGGTCTATTTTGGAACTAAAAGATAACAAAGCTCCCGGAAATGACAACCTAAAATCAGAGATCTTCACAAAAATATGCTATCATATCTGCAAGCCGCTAACTTACATAATAAATGAATTTTTTCGTACAGGGGTGTTTCCAGATGTATTAAAAACGGCTACCATAATACCGATACATAAAAAAGGCAGCAAACTTGACATGAGAAACTACAGATCGTTATCATTAATTTCAAACATCACCAAAATCATTAAGAAACGGCTACTAAAAATTTTTACTAAGCATGACATATTGCACAAAAATCAATTTGGATTCAAGGACACATGCCGTCTATGCAAGATGCAATAGGTACATTCACAAGGAAACTATATAATCTCGTGGATGAAAAAGTCCCTGCTATTTGCATATTCATAGACTGAACAAAAGCTTTCGATACTGTTAGTCACACCACGCTTTTAGATACACTAGATTCTAGTTCTAGTGCTTAGAACATAGTGACGTAAGAGGAATTCCATTAGGTAAGTCTAATTAACATCGAGTTATTTGAGTGGGTGGAAGTAATGTGTAAAAATTGACAATATAACAAGTGAATAACAAAATATGAGCTGCGGTATCTCGCAGGGAACTGTTTTCGGCCCCATTTTATTCAACATCTACAAAGACGATTTATTCTCAATAGAATCGGGGGGTACAGTGCTAGGATTCGGAGACGATACTGTTATCATTTATGAAGCCTCAAACTGAGATGCACTAAAAAAAAATATTGAAAATAACCTTAAAAATGCACTAGCATATTTTAACAGCAAATTATTTACAGTCAACGCTGTGAAGACTACCTTTGTACCCTTCTCGTCCTACAAGAATCACTTTCCTCCGTACACTGAAATGAACGTCAAAGCAGCAAATGGTTCTATAACTATTAAACGTCAAACCAGAGTTAAATACCTTGGAATTTTTATTGATGAATATCTATGATGGGGTGTGCAAATTGAGTATGTAACCAAGCAAAAAAAATGCCTTATGCCAAAGTTCAAGTATCTTACAAACGTGCTTAGCTTTGATTGTATGAGAGTCTTATACTCCGCACTTGTGCAGTCAAATCTTTACTGGGGAGTAATTGGTTGGTGAGGAACGGCATTCTCATGAAAATTAGAAATTGATCAAAAATATATATTAAAGATTATTTTTAGCAAAAAGAAGACTCATCCGTCTGATGAATTATATCATGAGATTTTTATCTATAATTCCATGGTGTATTATTTCAAAAATAAAACTTTTCATGAAAAAATGATCCATAAATATGACACCCGCCAGAAAGCGACTCTGGACCAAATAGTACCCAAGCCAGAAAAAAAACTATTACAGTGCTCTTTGGTTTATCTATTTTCCAAGCTGTACAATGAAATGCCGGTCGCTTACAAAACAATACAAAATATTGGATTTTATTTAAAAAAGAATTTCATTGTGGATAGAAACCATCCCTAGAAAAAATCGACAAGTATATAGATGGCAAAACGTTGAACATGTCTCTATGTAAAGGCCAGATATAGTCACAAGCCTGTATGAATGCGATGATTATCATATAGTTGTAATATTCTTTTTATATTAATTTTGTTTTTACTATATTTTGATATTTTTACGATAGACTTTTATTAGTGTCAAGTTTTAATGCTTTTAAAATCTGTGCATCTCAATTTGTGAATGTACTATTTCTTTGCGTCTTAATAATTCTTTTTTATTTTCACTTTTTTATACTTTACGGATAGCTATAGCTTTAATGCGTTTTTAACTTTAATTTTAAACAGACAAATAACCAGTGCCATAAGTTGTTTCGCCAGTGACCATGATGGCAAATTTGGCAAAAATTAGATTATTGCCACACACAAGGTTTCTCTTTCGTGACAGTATTTTAATTTGTCATTGTTGCTCCTGTACTGGCAACAAATTATAGCAATCTGTATTTTTGGCAAAAATAAATTTCTTCAAATTTTAATAAAACAATGATTATAGCCATTACAAATGAATCTATCTGAAATTCACTAAATCTTAAATATGGTCGAATGCGTACAAGTCAGACTTCATTAAATACTTTTTAATATGTTTCCATTTTTATATTGTACATTCTGTCAGTTTCTTTTAAATTTTAGCACACTCTTAGTGTCTACACTAATTTGAGTACTTTTGCACTATAACGATTACTACTAACTTTTTAGCTTTTAATGTGTTTGTTTTATTTTTTAGTTTTACTTCGCCAGCTCATTTATATTTTATAACGTTTGAAATTTACTAAAGTTATGCTGCTTCAAGGTTTAATTGTCTCTAGCTATCGGTTAATGCCCAGCACAAGTTCATCTTTTTATGGCTTATTTATTGTACAATTAAATTATTGAAATGTATACCTTTGTGAACTGTTCTTTTCATACAATAAACCACTACTACTACATGATGGAGCTCCTCCACATTTCAGACCAGAAGTTCATGAACATTTAAATAAGTTTCCGAATAGATAGATAGGGCGCAATGGACACATTTCTTCGCCTGCTCGCTCCCCGGATTCAACGCCTCGTGATTTTTTTCTGTGGGGCTATTTGAAAGAGTTAGTGTATCATGATGGAGCAGCAAATACTCTGGAAGAACTTCAATAGCGCAGTGAAAATGCTTGTGATTTAATTCGTGTACACCAGGATTTTATTTTCGAAGCTTGTAAATAGTCGTGGATTCGCCGAGCAAGATTTTGCATTAATCGAACAAATGGGAACAATTTTAAACAGTTTTTGTAAAAACGGTATCCATTTAACTTGATGATGATTTTTTTAAATAATTTTCAATAATGTAAACTAACTCTCTTATTATGCAACTTCTATTTAGGTGATTTTTGGTATATCAACTTCGTTTGACAAGTTCTACAAGCTGTTAAAATAGATCACTCAACTTTTATCACATCCTGTATAATTCTCTTATTCTATCGTTTAACTAATGGTAGAATATCACTATCATGCTTCAAATTATGATGGTGTTAAATTTTTGAAGCAGTATGCCCTACTTTACCTTAACTGGGTGAGGATCGACCCCATATGTGTCTAACTGACAAGCTAGTTTCAAAAATGAATGTTCTACTTGACTTTGGCTTTGCCCTTTCAACTGCTTTTGGTGTATCTCCATTGCTTTATCTTCTATTGCTTCTGTTTGTTTCAAAAGAATTTTAAACTCAGAAATGTAGTTTCCAACATGGATTTCTGGATCATAGTCTCCTAGTTCACCTACAGAATAATTCAGAATATTATTGTCATTACGATATACAGGATAGGCAAGATTAGACCTATGCTGTACTCATGATACTACTCAAAAAAATTAAGGTAGCATGAAAAAATCCAAAATTTTCTGTGATTTTGGACAGGTTGTATTTCGGTGAAAAATGGTGGTGCATAGACTTTAAAAAAGCATTTTGAGGTTTTAAGATTCCAGTTTTCAATCTTGTTAGTCGAAACATTTTAGTAGCAACGGCTCTCATGTAATTTTTATAGATAGCGCAAAAAAAAATTTGCATTCCTCTTTTTAGTCCACGGGCTTGGAATTTTTTTTCTGTTAGGCCATTATACCGATCAGATAGCCCGTTTATTCAGCTCCAATATACTTTTTTCAAATCTCGATACGATTATTTGGCGCGGAGATATCTACGTCTGAATAAAAAATAATGTTTTTGTCATTGATGACTGATATTTCGGTAACTATTGGTTGAACAGGGAATGTGAGAATATTTCCGAAAACTGGAATAAACCTCCTATAAGATTTGATTGCAATCTTTAAGGATTTTTTTGGTTTCCTTAGTGTTGATTTAAAAAAGTCAAAAAAGTCGCTTTTTGCCTTGTTTTGGAAAATCGAGCGCATTTCTGGGACTGCTAATGAGAAGGCTAATATTTGTAGGTTTTTTATACCCCAATGTATCCCTAACAACCCTATACGATGGCAGACTGATCCATTGTACGGTTTCTCCGGACCGACAAATTCCTACATCCGCCTTTGAGACCCAAAAAAAAATATTTTCTAGATCTAGTTAGTATTTTTTGGAATATTCGATGAATAAAACAATGGAATTTTTCAAACTGCTTTTTTAAAATTGAAGGTGGTACAGATATCCAATAGTGACAACAAAAGAAAAATGATTTTTCTATTTTCAACCAGATTACATCAATTGTCATGAGTAAAATCAACGGAAAGTTGATTTTGCATGTGAACCGACCTGGTTGAGGAGAAGATTGTTCGTCTATATACTTTACAATCTTGTGACGTCGGATACCACAAACACTACATCTTGCATGCAAGTAAAACGTCAGGGTAGCACGAGTGTCTATGTTAATATCTCATCAATGCTGCCATACGAGGGTTGTTTCAAAAATAATGTTCATAACGACGTAAATTTGCCGCGCTTGATGCTAGGCGAAATCTGACATCACCGCCGTGTTTGTCGGCTTCCCCTCACCGATCCCAGCAGGAAGCGCGTATAAAAAAAAAATTGGCGATGCTGGGTACCGGCCTGACAGCCATTCGCAAGCCTTTCATCGCCTTCACCGCCTGGTAATGCGTATAAAAAATGGCGACTATGTAGAAAAATAGCTTAAAGATGCACGTTTCCAATGATAAATTCGTTTTTTCAGATGAAAATTCCTTGTGCCTGAAAAAAATGTGGGAACCTTATTTTTGAGACTACCCTCGTAAAATAATTACTTCTTGAATACCTTGTAGTATCAAAGCTGCGAGAATAGCGGCATCGTTTGCAGTACAATATAGTCGTCCATGTAATAGATCTCTTTTAAGCTGTAAAAATATTTGGTACCGCGTTATTTCCTCCTTCAGTCTAAAAGGGTCTGGTGGATAGAACTTAACTCGAAAACTGAAAAGCACTGGGTCGAGATCCTTAACTTGCTTCACGATTGACTTGCCCAGGTCCAACCAGTGCTACAAAAAAACGATTAATCTAGTCGAGTAAGATAACTCGGCACTTCTCAAAAATTAACGTCAATGATTTAGTAGATCTGGATTTTTAGATACAAAGAAGTTATTATACTACTGACAATCTGGTTCACAATTCTTTATCCATTTAACTTTCTTGATCAAACAGTCAGAATTTTATACACCGAGCTATTTTTTCCATACAAAATTTCCATTTTCGTCGACCGCCGTTGTAAGCCAGTGAAACTGGTAATTTTAGGTGTAAGATAAATTACCACATAATAATAATAAACAAATTTATTCACAATTACAACCAGTAATTAAATTTAAATAATAAATATAATTGCAAAAAGGGTCAACAACAGAAAAACCAATACAAGTGCTGATTAATCAGTTTGATAATATTCATTCAGATACTCAATTTATAGCATGAGGTTTATTTCGTTTCTGCCATAATCTCAAGTAATTCAAATATGATTTTGGAAAATAAATATACAAATTTAATTATGAAAATCAATACGTGGTTTAACCAGCACTCACTATACTTGAATCCTTCCAAAACAACGCTTATTCGTTTTCATCATGCAAAAAAAACTGTAGAAGACTTTAAAGTTAGATTGGGTGACGATAAACTCGATTTTAGAGGAGACGTGAAATTTCTTGGAGTTAATTTTGATTGGAAGGCCCACTGCGAATTTCTTATAATAAAGATGAACTCTCAAAGCTATGTGTTGTGGCGATTAAAAACGATCTTAACAACCGAACAACTAATACAAGTTTATTTTGCTAATGTGGATTCAAGATTGACATATGGAGTATGTTTCTGGGGTTGGTGAACGCGCTCTGAAGTGTGTTTGTGTCTCAAAAAAGATGCATCCGATCATTGCCAGGGATATCACCAACAGAAAGTTGCAAAAAATATTTTATAGATTTCAACATATACTAAGTGACATATAAATCCGACCACCCAGTTTAATTGGTTTTATTTTAATAAAAGTTGGTGAATGTATTTATCTTACTGTAAATAACAAGTGAAAAAATTTTCAGCCTTATCAGTTGGACATTCCGGTTTTTATACTGCTTTTTTTTAATTCACTAACGCTCTAAAAATGAATATTTCAGCCGCAGTAAAGAATCAACGTTGGCGGATTTTGGTTCTTGACATTCTTTACGATCGGTTACGATGCCCAGAGTACGGAGACCTGTACGATTTCGTCAACTCAGTAAGATAGGGGCCGTATAGTGAGACTTTGGGAAGCTGGACTTTCTTTTCGGGCAATTGCAGTTAGAGTGCAACGAAGTGTAGACACTGTGGTTAGGTGTTGTCAGGCATGGCTTCGAGAAGGCCGTACGCAAAGAGCAAGGGGCACTGGACGCCGCCGTAGAACAACAGACCGTGAAGATCGCCGCCTAAGATTATTGGCCTTAAGGGACCGTTTCTCCACTACCAGGTCCATTGCAAATGAATGGTTTGCAGAACACGGAAGACCTATTGGCATGCGAAGTGTTTACCGACGAATTAGAAGTTTTGGCTTGTTTTCATACCGGCCACACTGGGTCCTCCCTTTAACTCGAGAACACCGACGTAATCGCCTTGAGTGGTGCAGACAACGGTCACTCTGGGATCAAGAATGGAACATTATTGTCTTTAGTGACGAGTCTTTTTGTTGAAAGACATGTTCATCACACTGTTGGAGTTATGGTTTGGGGTGCTATAGCTTATGGTTCCAGGTCACCTTTAATCTTCATCAGAGGTAACATGAACGCGCAGCGTTATATCCACGAAGTTCTAGAACCCCATCTTTTACCCTATCTTGACACCCTGGCAGATCCAACTTTCCAACAAGATAATGCCCGACCTTATGTTGCAAGAGTCACAATAGACTTCTTTCAACATAATGATGTCACATTGTTACCATGGCCACCAAGATCTCCCAACTTATCCCCAATTGAGCACGTGTGGGGTATGATAGGTAGGAGATTGCTCAATTTGCAACGTCCTCCTCAGACTCTAGAAGCACTTCGAGAGGAGTTGGTGGTTGCCTGGAATGAGATACCACAGGAGGACATTGACCACCTGATCAGAAGCATGCCTAGGCGCGTTGGAGAATGCGTAGCACATCAGGGTGCATCCACACATTATTGAAGGTCAAAGGGCTTTAAAGCAGTGCAATCATTTTGAAATTTTTATCATTTACTTATTATGCTTCATTAAGTACTTATACAAAATTTTATTAAAATAAAACCATTTAAACTGGGTGTTCGGATTTATATGTCACTTAGTATATTAACTGTCCCTTCGTTGTATAGGTATATATGAATTGTGCCTACATGTTTTTAAAAATAATAATAAATTCAAGCGAAATTATGATATGCATAATTATGATGAAAGGACTTGTAATAATTTATATATAAACTTCCGCAAATCAAAAGCAGCATTTCGATCGCCTAATAAAATTCGTCCGCTTCTTTTTAATAATTTGTCATGCGACGTTACGTCGGTTAAAAATATTAACCAGTTCAAGCTCCACTTGAGCAGTGTTTGATAAACAAATGCTTTTATCATGTTAATGAATTTTTGAACGTTGCAATTTTTGATTAATTGTAGGTTGTAGCGTATGAAGAATTGACAATTCCAATACAATTGTATATTGTCTGTATGGAAAATAACGGTTTTGATTGATTGATTGAGCCAATTGAGACAAAAATAATGAACATTATGCTCTAAGAATTATAAGCGCAGTTGAGAAAAAATATAAGTGGTTGAGATTAAGTAGTGTGGGCAAAAACAGAAAAATAGTGACGGAGGATATTGCTTCTGCCATATTAATTGTTGGAGTTAGTAGCAGATACTTTCTGTAGTCGACTTTAAATGATTTGGAAGATATGTTCTCAAAATGGAAGGGAATTGCATTATACAAAGGTTAATAGTTTTGCGATATGACTTAACACACGGACGCAGGAGGCTGCATGTTGAGACATGTCCATGAGTGCATAGTAGCCGCCAGCAGAACGTCTGTTGATTCAGTTGTTCATGCATAGTGATAGTGTAAAGTGCGGACTATGGCATCGTGGCCACTTAGTGACATAAGGGCAGTAAGGAAACTTTATTGTCTCTAGGTACCGCATAGTCTGACGGAAGAGCAGCAGACTCGGCGGCGAAAGATGCTGAAAATGTTTGATAAGGGGCAATCTCGGTATGTGAACAGCATCGTGACAGGTGACGAGACTTGGCTCTATTATTACGATGTGCCGACCAAGGCTCAAAACTAAGTTTGGATCTTCGATGATGAGGGCACAGTCGTAGATGTCAGAAAATCCCTATCTGTTAAGAAAAAAATGATAGCTGTATTTTTCAAATCGAGCGGGATTGTGGAGCATGTCGTTTTGGTCACATAGAAGACAGTCACAGCTAAGTGGTACACGGAACAGTGCCTGCCTAAAGTCATACTTTGAACAAAGTCAATAAATAAAGCTGTATTGCAAAACTTCTATAGTATCCTTTATATATTCTAGAACTATTAAATGTAAATGATCTCTCAAATATGTATTGAAGTTCGATGTACGGAACTGCGAATATTTAATTTATGGACATCATGTCTAAATTTCATCCTATTCCATAAATATGGAGGCGTTTTGGTGGAGGCAATTTTATGGAATAATGTAGCCATATGAAGTTTTCTTGTGGAGGCCATATTGAGCCAACTAACTTCCTCCAGCTTGTTAAACTTGCGAATGCCGAATACGAACCTAAGACACGACTTTTTGATTTTTTGAATTCGTCCATAATCCATTTGCGTTAAACAGGGTCCTTACACGACATCATAATAATTGATTAGGGACAAAACTAATTCAATTGGCAGAATATCGCGGTGTGGGAACGAAAACTTTAACCAAACGAATGCCATTTGGATGCATTTTTTTACGTGATCAGAGAACAGTTGGAACATAATATATTCAAAAATAACGATACTGGCCATCTCTAGATGGCAAACTATACTAAGTGACATATAAATCCGAACACCCAGTTTAAATGGTTTTATTTTAATAAAATTTTGTATAAGTACTTAATGAAGCATAATAAGTAAATGATAAAAATTTCAAAATGATTGCACTGCTTTAAAGCCCTTTGACCTTTAATAATGTGTGGATGCACCCTGATGTGCTACGCATTCTCCAACGCGCCTAGACATGCTTCTGATCAGGTGGTCAATGTCCTCCTGTGGTGTCTCATTCCAGGCAACCACCAACTCCTATCGACGTGCTTCTAGAGTCTGAGGAGGACGTTGCAAATTGAGCAATCTCCTACCCATCATATCCCACACGTGCTCAATTGGGGATAAGTCGGGAGATCTTGGTGGCCATGGTAACAATGTGACATTATTATGTTGAAAGAAGTCTATTGTGACTCTTGCAACATGTGGTCGGGCATTATCTTGTTGGAAAGTTGGATCTGCCAGGGTGTCAAGATAGGGTAAAAGATGGGGTTCTAGAACTTCGTGGATATAACGCTGCGCGTTCATGTTACCTCTGATGAAGATTAAAGGTGACCTGGAACCATAAGCTATAGCACCCCAAACCATAACTCCAACAGTGTGATGAACATGTCTTTCAACAAAAAACTGTGGATTCCTCCTTTCACCACGTCGCCTTCTAACCCTGGCCCGACCATCGTGCATGCCTAAACAAAATCGAGACTCGTCACTAAAGACAATACTGTTCCATTCCTGATCCCAGAGTGACCGTTGTCTGCACCACTCAAGGCGATTACGTCGGTGTTCTCGAGTTAAAGGGAGGACCCAGTGTGGCCGGTATGAAAACAAGCCAAAACTTCTCATTCGTCGGTAAACACTTCGCATGCCAATAGGTCTTCCGTGTTCTGCAAACCATTCATTTGCAATGGACCTGGTAGTGGAGAAACGGTGCCTTAAGGCCAATAATCTTAGGCGGCGATCTTCACGGTCTGTTGTTCTACGGCGGCGTCCAGTGCCCCTTGCTCTTTGCGTACGGAATTCTCGAAGCCATGCCTGAAAACACCTACCCACAGTGTCTACTCTTCTTTGCACTCTAACTGCAATTGCCCGAAAAGAAAGTCCAGCTTCCCGAAGTCCCACTATACGACCCCTATCAAACTCACTATGTTGACGAAATCGTACAGGTCTCCGTACTCTAGATTCTTTACTGCGGCTGAAATATTCATTTTTAGAGCGTTAGTGAATTAAAAAAAGCAGTATAAAAACGGGAATGTCGAACTAATAAGGCTGAAAATGTTTTCCCTTGTTATTTACAGTAAGATAAATACATTCACCAACTTTTATTAAAATAAAACCATTTGAACTGGGTGTTCGGATGTATATGTCACTTAGTATATTTGATTCATACTTTAATAATGATAAAAATATGTCTAGATTTTTAAGATGAACATCTGAACTTATCTGCGTTGATTCTCCCAAAAATCCACTATTTAGACACAATGTCACTAATGTTTTTCATTTTATATAATTTGTAAGGTCGGACTGAAATAGAGTTATTTGATTTTCAATCGAGGAATATATCTTTTACCCAATATGGCGGGTGGTTATGTAGAATCATGGCATCGTCCATATTATCTTTGGTTTTTTAGAACATCTTGGTGTTAGCTGCAGGTTTTATACAGCAATTTGACATATCTCTAAAATGAAATGCGAACAGAGTCGAATGATTTACTCAGAGTTTGCACAAGATCTATATCTTCTGTTTAAAAATTTGATAAAACCTTAATACAGTCAAAATCACGAAAGATGACTATTACGTCATACTATAAATTGTACTGAAGTAATCAATGGACGTACGTCGATGATAAAATCACAATGTCGGGAACATAATCTGACAATGAATTTATATTATGATTTTGCGAAGTTAGTTAGGTTATTTCACTGATTATTTTTATTTTATTTCATGGTTTAAAGTGATACCTCAATAATAATCTTTCAAATATGATCGATCATGCAACATGAAAACATCGTCTACCTTTGTCGGATACATGCAAATTAGCAATACAGTTTGTTTAGACAATAAAATTCTGTTTCTCTCTGTCTAACATATTTGAAACTTAATGAAAAATATTCACAAATCGCTGTCGTTTGTCTTTACTACTGACTAAAATGATGACGTAATCGTCATCTTTCGTGATTTCGACTACAACGAATATTCATGTGTTGCTTGTCTTGCCGTTTAACCTAAGATGACAGCAGAAACTTTGGTTATCGTGAAGTTGAATACTGATAAATATATTTAGCAAATGCATGCCGAAGACAGCAATTTTGTACTATAAAGGTCGAGATATTGCGGCAGATGCAAAGCTTTTAACATTACTAAATGACAGTTCTATTAGGACCGTATCGTCAGTCATTCCTACAATTTATTGTAGGACGCCTTCATGGACTCCTTGATTTTCTGAATTGCATCGCATACATATATTTATGCGGCGTTCCGATCGATGACGTTCTGATCGAAACGGTAAAAAGGCAGCAGTGCTGAAAATTTGCCTTTACCACTTCTACCGACATAATTTCGCTCCAAATAAACATAAATCGATGCGGTTTTCACGTAGTTCGTTTGTATTAATGGCTTTCTAAGTACTCTAAAAGTTTTACCCCTCTCCTCCAAAAACTTCCCCAGCGTGAGGAGTAACGCGAAAAATTGATATTACATTAAAATAAACCTGGAGAAATGCGGGTTTCACGTTAATTAATAATTATAAAAAGCATATTTTACTTACGCTAAGTTCAAATCTTTGCTATCTTGTTCACAGACACCCAGATTGACCCCCTTTAAAACTTGATATTTTAGAAGCTAATGTAATCATCTATAGCTTTTCAAAACGGCCCAAGACCAAAATGTTTTGGCACGTCTCGCATGAATATGATCTAGTCAATCACACCCTATCAGCCGTTCCCCAAACCAAGTCCGGAACCCCCCGTTTCTTCACCCATGTTGTTTACATACTGCATTTTAAAAATAGACTATTATTAATCAAAATGGCTAAAGACCTACAAGTTTTTTGTAGTACTTGCATCAACATAACCTATTCTATCACACCCTACCAGCCGTTCTCCGAAAGCAGTCCGGAACCCCTCGTTTTTGACCCTTGTTTGTTTATACACAGCAAATTCGAAAAAATCTATTATTCGTCAAAATGGCCGAAGACTAAAAAGTTTTTTACATTTCTGCCATCAATATAACCTATTCTTTCACACCCCACCAACCGTTTTCCCAAAGCAAGTCTGGAACCCCCGTTTTTGACCCCTCTTTGTTTATACATAGGAAATTTGAAAAAATCTATTATTCGTAAAAATAACCGAAGACCAAAAAGTTTTTCGCATACCTGGCATTAATATAACCTACTATATCAGACCCTTCCAGCCATTTTCCGACAGCAAGTCCGGAATCCCCCGTTTCTGAACCCCTCCTTGTTTATACACAGCAAGTTTGAAAAAGACTATTATTCGTCAAATTGACCGGAGATCAAAAAGTTCTTTGCATCTCTGGTATCAATATAATCTACTCTATCACACCCTTCCACCGTTTTCAGAAAGCAAGTCCGGAACCCCCGTTCTGACCCTCTTTGTGTATACGTAGCAATTTTGAAAAATCTATTATTCGTCAAAATGGCCGAAGACCAAAAGTTTTTTACATTTCTGGCATCAATACAACCTAGTCTATCACACCCTATCAGTCGTGTTCCGAAAGCAAGTCCAGAATCCCCCGTTTTTGACCGCTCTTTGTTTACACATAGCAATCTTGAAAAAATATATTATTCGTCCAAGTCTTCTATAAACAGAATCTCATCCTTGCCAATTTTTAGATAAAAGAAAATTCCAAGCAATTTCAAATGAACTTGCACGTGCCCTTTAATCTCTTATCTGACCCTACCACACAATTCATTTACCTGAGATATCCTGACTATAAACTACCTTCCTGTCAAAACTCTTTTTTGTTTCCGACATTTCGTGATTAAAGAGTATCTTTAAGCTTTTGCTTTTGACTAATTTAAATAGCTAAAAAGGAGACAATTGAAGGTATATCTGCTAAATAATTTGAAGAATATTATCAAAGACAATGATTAATAGTAAAGACATTAGGTTTGCACTTAGAATAGCCATCTCTTATGGCATGAACATGCTTATCAATTGATTCCTAAACTCAATAAAAGCATTTTTGTCCTCCATAGCCTCCAAAACTCTGTTTCCCCTGACATTCATCTTCAAGCGTACTACAGCTATTTCCACACTCATATGACTTATGGGGTGTTATTTTGGGATCACTCAGCCAGCTCCTCAGAGGTGTTTGCTGCCCAGAGGAAGTGCATCAGAGTTATCTCCAACATGCCCTTTGGGAACGATTGTAGGAAACAGTTTATTTCTCTAGGTGTATTAACACTACCTTGTGCATACATTTTAGAGTGCCTGTTACATGTCAGGAAAAACGTTGACAACTATGACAGGAACCTCAGGTTCCACAGCTATGATACTAGATACCATAATGGTATGTCCATACCCTACAGTAGGATCGACAATTCCAGCGATGGGCATAATTATTATGGTATCAAGTTCTTTAATGCTCTTCCTGAGTCAGTTAGACTTTTGAACATTGCATCATTCAAGACCACACTGTCATCATACTTAAAGTGAACGCTTTTCATAGCATTGAAACCTTTCTAGATAATGAACTTAGTGACATACATATATCGATTATATTTTTTCTTTTTATATATGTATATTAGTGTAAGTAAGTGTGATTTGACCTTATCTGTATCTTTTGAATTTAGTATTAATGCTGAGTGTGAACTTTTTTGTACACTGTAAGCTTTTCATTTTCTTCTTTTGATGTATGTGAGTGCTTTTGCATGCACAACATTACTAAAGATTATTATTATGAGGAGGTGATGAGGTACCATGGATGCCAAAGCATCAAACCTTATTTGGTGCAATGATTTGATGTTCCAAATTTTATTATTAGTCAAATCATCGCTATAGTAGACAAATGACATCTTACATTGTGAAATTTGGAGACAAAATTGTGAAGCAGATGACAGATGACTTGTTTAGGACTTCCCTCATACCATAGCATTGACCTGACATCAGATTAGGAATTTATATATCAAATTTACACTGGACAAGAGTATATATCCAGGTCGTGAATAGACGATTTTTGAAAATTGTCTAGTATGTATATCAGTATGAGCTTTTTCCAACTTCATGATTACTATAAGATGTAGTTGGATTTTTTTTAAGTCTCCAAAAAAGTTGACTGGTAAAATCTATTTTTTAAGATATGGAGATATTAATAACAGCTCATTAAAATTTCTGTGGGTATGGGATTTTTAGCAACTGATAAATTTCAATGCAGTGTAACAAAATTATTTAAAGTCTAGAGATGCATACTTACTATTTGTATTCTGTTTAAATTATGTGTAAAAAACAGCATGGATATACTACAGTAATAAATTTTTTGTGTCTGTCTGTTTAACATAACTGGCATAGTTTGTGTGTTAAAAAACAGCTTGGATATACTACATTCATAAAGTTTATGGGGGTCTGTTCAAACTAACTGGAATAGTTTCCTATGGGCATATACATCATCACCCTGTGTAGTTTGTCTAAGTTTGCTGGATAATATTTTTATTGAGCATCTGTCTGTAATGTGGATACTCACTCTTTGATTTTGATTGTCAACATAGCGCAATCCTAAATAATCATACTCCACAAGATTCAACTGCTGACACACATATTCCAGCAAGTATTTTCCTTTATGGTAAGGCTGAAATGATTTTTTTAGATGAGTCTTTAGCTCTTTGCAATCTGAATACTCTACCTTATATTCACATTCTAATATTTCAGTGTCTTCAAGAAGTCTTACGGTGCATTTATAAACAATATTGCTATCATGTTTTGAGCCAAACTTTAGCATGGTTCACATTAGAGAAATTATGATGAGAACCTTTGTTGAAGTGGAGTTTTATTCGGTCTAAGCCCCTCATATACAAATTGTAATAAACAAATGGATCAAAGGGGGCTGATTGAATGCATTTTTTTTGACGTATGGTTATGGTCTTCGAAGTTCTGCGCTATGCGCTTTGCTTTCTGCCATACTAGTGTTTTATATTCGAAATGTTGAAGGGCGAATCACCGTATTTGTGTAGCGACGAATGAGAAATAAGGCGTGACCTAATGCGCTGTGACCAGTCATGTCTTTGTTGATTGGTCAATTATACGTCAATATGCCAAAGATGGTGTGTATTTTTACTGGTATTTGAACCCAGGTTTATGCATTCCAAGGGATGACGTCAAACGTCGAAAGCACGTGACTATTCATTCCTTATTGATTGGTTACTTCTGTCGAATTTGGTGGTAAATTTGAATAAAAGTTCACACCAAGCAATGGATTTACTCGCCATGAATTCCGAAAGTATCGAATAGTTAAGATATAAGAATGATCTGACCACAGTGGAAACACTATATTTTTTCTACCTTTTCAACTTCCTCCTTTCATCTATTCTTGTGTCTTTGCTCTCTTTTCCCTTTCTGTCTTTCTTTTGTCATTATGTGTTTTATGCCTGTTCCTCTTCGGTTTTGAAGCTGGATGTCAGTGCTGGTGATGCCTTTTACAAAAAAGTAAGAAAAACGTTTAAATTATTCTAAATAATATATTTTTTAATAGACGTAGTAAAAACTTAGCAACCGATTCCTAGTCAGGCTAACATTTTGCCCATTTCAAGTGTTATTATTCATAAAAACTCAGTGGAACTCGGTTAAGGCTTATGGTGCAAAACAGAAAACTGATTATTGAACTTATTGTTTTGCGACTTGTATGTTCTGTGATACAGATATTTGAAATGTTAAAATTAAATTGATAAGGGCCTGAAGAGTTTTGGCAAGTTTTTTTGTAAATTTAGCCGTTAGTTCATAGAGAAAACATAAAAATGTATATTTCGTGTATATATTTTTTGACGTAAACTGTCATTATTGAACTTGTTTTGTGAGTTTTATGTTCTGTGTTACAAATATTTGAAATGTTAAAATTAAATTGATGAATCCATTTCGGTTTCACCCCGGCTTGGAAAATTGGGTAAGAAAATACAAAAATAGCTTAAATAGGTCCCTGTAGCCCAAATATATTATATCTGTAGCGCAGAGCCAGGCTAGGTTGAGTCCATTTTTGCATACAATGATTTTTATATGTTGAGTCTATGAGCACATTGTTGGTTTTAATTTGTTACTTGCATCTACCTACCAGTACTAATAAGAAAGTTTTGGCTTTATAAATTATGTTGAGTATTTAGTTTTGCAAACACTTGTATTAGATATATAGTTTCTGCATAGAGGGTTACTAAAAATCTTGGAAATTACCATTTCATCTATCTCTTCATGTATGTTTGCTCTCTTTTCCCTTTCTGTCTTTCCTTTTTATTATGTGTTTTATCCCTTGCAGTCTCCGGTTTTAAAGTTGGACGTCAGTGCTGGTGATCCATTTTCCAAAAGGTAAGCAAAACGTTGAAATTATGCGAAATAATATATTTTTTAGTAGATGTAGTGAAAATTTAGCATCTGATATCCAATTAGGCTACCGTTTTGCCTGTTTCAAGTGTTATTATTCATAAAAGAGTGAGACATATTTTATTGCTCAATAGAATATAAACTTTAGATAGCTCATCTTTTCCATTACTCGAGCTTATAATATGTTTCCTTTTATATCACATAACTCAAGTATCATTGGGACTGTAAATCAGTTTCAGCGGCAATGTTATTGTGATTCAGTCCATCTTGTGGTGTGTGGTAGTTAGTTGTTTTCACATCTCAAGCTGGAATTTCTTTATAGACTAGAAAGCAGGATCTCAGGTTGGAAGCAGGTCTACCTAGTATAATGATTGATAATAATAATATATTATCTTTATTATTGGCATACATTGACAAAGTGGTGAATAAAGAAAAATTTAATTTGATTTAGTCAATAAGGGGCGAAGTTCAGCTTGCTTGGTACGAAGTGCCAACAAGCTGCTCGTCCACTTAGCCCAGACTGACTGAGAGATCCTTATTTGTTTTGTAAATTTATGTACCAGAAAGGTCCTCTCTTAACTTCTTGGCAAGCAGATTAAAACTTGTAAGAAATTATCTCTGAAGTCATTCAAAAGAGTTAAGTGGAAGAACACATCTGTGGTGTACATCTGAACTTTGCCTTCATCAGACTCCCTTTTCTTTAATATAAGTGTAAGTTTATTTGTTGATGTTTGGCGAATAGAGGCGCTTATTATTATTATTATTCATAGTCATTCAAGAATCAACTAACTGTTGCTGGTCTGTGAGGTAATGAAGTTGGATTTTGTTTGCTCGAACAGCCTGAATTTTGTGACATTCCTGTCACTGTAAATGAATTTATAATCCTAGTCCCATGATTCTCTTATATACATCAGGAATGCACAAATTATTATACATTTATTATTTATTTTGAAGCAAAGAACGTAATCAATAAGCTATCACAGACACATTTCGCTTAGAATGAAGCTGACTGTAAGCATACAGCGTAATTATAGAAAGGGAAAGAAAATATTTATTAGTCTCGTCTCCGATATAATCTCTTAGTGTTTTAGTACCACAAAGTCTCTGATAGTACGAAATATTCATTAAACATTTATTCAATATTTAATAATATTTTATCTTACTTAAATATTTGTTATCTTAAACAAATATTTGATAAATATGTGGAAAATAATATTTTTATTACATATTTATTCAATATCTTTTAAATATTTTAAATACAATATTCCTTTTATAATGTTCATCAAATATTTACTTTTCATAAGACGTTCCAAAATTTTAACTGTCGAAAATACTATATGTTTGTCCCTTGAATTATAATATAAAATCACAAAATAGTTATGGCAAAATTAGCCCCCTTACTACTGCAAAAAGTCACATTTCACGAAAATCAATAAGTGGTCTATTTTAAAAAACCTATTTGAAAGTTAGTCAAAGGATGAAGTTGTGCCCGTGGACATTTTTAATCAGGATATCTAAAATAACATATCAAATTTTATTGAAAATTAACCAAATCTCGAACTCCCAAAGGAAAAAAAATATAACAATTTTCCCCCTGAAGGGAAGAAAATTGAGATTTCGGGTCTTGCCATAGGCCTGACCGTTGAGATTACCCTCTTTATTTAAAGCATTGTGAGTGGTGTATCCCCCTTTCCTCTCGACTTTACTTACCCCATTCTAGCATCCCAACCCCTACGCCTATGAGTACCCCCCTCCCCGCGCCATGGCTAGCCGGCAAGTGGCGAGTTTCTCGCTTGTTCTTCAGCACCTTTAAGCCGGCAAGGAATTGCCTAGGTCAGGCCCTGGCAAGACCCGAAATATCAATTTTCTTCCCTTCAGGGGGAAATTTGTTCTATTTCCGCTCTGTGCCTACGGCCTGACCGTTGAGATCTGTTTATGTTCTGCCGGATATGGGGGCGTACTGTGAAAATGTGTAGCCTATAAATCTCCAAATCGTAGATCCGATTTAGAAATATTTATTAATGATAGTTATCTAGGTTTTGAACTTTTTGGCGTAACATGCCAGTAAACTGAAAACATATAATAATAAAAACATAGGGAACATTCTGCTTGATTAGGTCATTGAACAAATGTATGGTAGGTAGGTAAGTAACATAAAACTAAACTTATTAGTCTTTAAAAAAAAAAACTTATGTCACAGCTAGATTATCTGTTTACATCAAACAGGAATAAAGGAACTCAATATTGGTACCGCTCTTTTGACAACACCGTCTGGAGCTTTTTTTGGCTTCTTTGTAGTAATGCTTAAAAATGTTACTGGATCCTCAGCAGTTTCCTTTCTTTAACACTTCGTCCAGAGGTAAACTGTCACTGTGCCTTGCTGTAGCTACTGCTGATCTGGTACTGCCTGCTGCATTTTCTATTCCAGCTGCCAATAGCGCTGTTGGAACCCAACCTGCTATGACCGACCGTGAAGCAGGTCCCGTTCGGCCTCGAGTTGTGACAAATAAGGACAGAATAAATGTGTTGTTTGAAGACCTCCTCACATCTGAAACCTGTCTATAATTTGCTAGGCAGGTCACCACGTCCCATAATTAATCTGCATTTCTCTGCAGTTTCCAACCTGATTGTCTATTGCTTGGCCCATCTGTCTTTGAACCGTACTGATACCAAAAAAATACTTCTTCTGATTGTTCGGAATTGCCCTTATCTATTCGAAGAAGTGTAAGATCGTGGACCCTCCTTCCAGACGATAATAGTAGAAGTATAGCGAAGTGTCTGGAAATCTGGAATAAGTTGTTGATGTCTGGTGGATGACATCGTATCCATTCTGGCAGTTGATTGATGTCCCAAATTTTAGGCGGAGGTTTTGGTGGCTCTGAATTCGCAATCCCTTTGAGTATTTGTATCACTAAAGGGTTGTTGTTGATTTCTTGCGCCCTGCAAACGTCGTAACCGTAGACTTGTGGACTAAAATTGTTGCATGAGCAAACTTGTTCGAAATGTGCAGATGACACAAATATTTGGCTACGTCGATCGCTCTCGGGTTATTGATGAACACCTCCTTGCTTTTAGCCCAGGTTTTCCACGCCGTCGAGTATGTTTTTAGGCTCGAATTTCGCCAAGACTCCTTTAATAGCCTGACCTCGCTATCCGACGGATTAAGTTGTCGACTCCCTGTGGCGGCCGGTTTGTTTGCAGATCCAAAAGATGTTCCTGTAGGTTCGCTATTATCCGGGGTGGGTCTGTAGCTCTTTTCTTGAGGGGTGGTCGCCAAAAGCCCCATCATGGGAAAATCAGAATGAACGTTCGTCTGCATCGATCCAAATGCTGATGGACCCGCGGAATCATGGGAGGTGGAAGGAAGATCCATGCAAGCTCGTAGTCCTCGTAAACGCGTTCATAAACTCTGCTTTTTGGCATGGAAACTGTGTAACAAATCGAGCAGTCATCGCGGATCTTTCTGTTGCGAATAGATCGATGGATGGCGTTCCCCACTTCCTGAATATCATCTTTTGAACGTGACTCGATAGGTGCCAATCCGGTAGTCCCTTCCCTCTGGACAGGTGATCCGGTACTGTATTGTAGCTCCCTGGAATGTGATCTGCTCTCAACGTCACGTTTTGTTGGTTCGCTAGTTCCAAGGTATTTTATGTCAGTTTTAGAAGTGTTATCGATTTGGTTCCTCCTTGGTGTCTCAGATAAGATACTATTGTTTTGTTGTCTGTCTGAATTAGAACTGATTTGTTTCTCAGATGTACAATGTTGTTTTCCATCATTAGGTATACTCGTATAACAAACATCTCTTTCTTGTTGATATGCCACTGCCGTTGGGGTGCTTTCCATGGTCGTGCTACTAGGTTGTCTCTCAGCTGAGCTCCCCAACCCGTGTCGGAGACATCCGTGATGAGATGGACCTCTGGTTCTTCTGAGTAAACTGGGCTGGTTTGTTTTAGACTGTTCGACCTCCAACAAAGAACTTGGGCTATTTGTGGCGATATCGGAATCTGATGATTGGGGCGAATTTCTGGAAGTTCTCTCAGACCTCGCTGCAACCTCCAACGTAAACGAGCCAGAGGAATCACGAACGATGCGACTTCCATTTTTCCTAGTATGCATTTTGCTTGCCTCCAGCTCCAAGTCCCTCTTTTAAGCTTTTCTGGTCTTCTTTTGTATTCCAATTTACTCCAAGGTAGGTTAGAACTTGTGTGGGTTCCGTTACTGATTTTTTCCAATTCACGATGAAGCCCAATCTTGAAAGTGTGTTTAGTAGCAGCTGTACTTGTTGTCTCAGGTTCGCTGCGTCTTGATTTACTATCAGAAAGTCGTCCAAATAAACTATTATCCGTATACCCTTTTGACGGAGCAGATTTGCTATCCAATTTGTAATTTTTGCGAAAATTTGCGGGGCTGAACTTAGTCCAAAGGGGAGCGCCGCCATTGCGTAGATCGTTTCCCGGAAATATATTGCCAAATATCTCCAGTGCCTTTTCTTGATTGGGACATGGAGATAAGCTTGAGGCAGGTCTACCTTTACCATAAAATTGTCTTGTTGAATAAACAGAGCTAACTTCCCGTGGTTCAACAAGCCAAACTTCTGAGTCGATACATACTCGTTTAGTCTTTTCAAGTTCAGGACTGGGCGCCAACAGCCATCCGCTTTCGGGTTAGAAACATCCTTGACACGAAACCTGTTCTTGAATGCAATTTTCTTAGAGCCTTCTGGCTTATGAGGTTTGCTATTTCCCTGGAAATTGGCGGAGTGTGTGGTGTCTAGAATTTTTATAACTTTTCCATTGTTAATCCTGTCGACGGAGGTTTCCCTAAAAATGGTATCGCATAGCCTTTGAGCACCTTTGAAACAGCTTTTGGGGCTCCTAGTTCTCGCCATGTTGAAGTATACTTTCCTAGCTGCCCCGCTTGAAAAACTTTGACTGGATCAAAAACGCCGGCTCTTTTCAGAGCTGTTGCGTTCCTTGAAGGAAGATCACAGTCCTTATCTTTATAAGATTTATTAAGCCTTGCATCTAGCTTTACGGGTTTCTTTGATGGGCTTTGATGGAGCTTTTTTGTCTGTCCGAGAGATAATTTTGTTTTAGGTGCTTCTCTCGCCCAATGTGGTCCGTAAGAAAGATTTTGAATGGAAGAGAACTTTGAAATTCCGTGGGTTTTAATGGCCTCCTGGAGTGTCTCCTCATCCCACAGAAAAGTTCCTGATGGTGGAATTTCGTTCAGTATGGGACGATAATATGTGGATTTTAGCTCGTAGAGCTTTCGTCTAGCTTCGATGATTTCCGCTCTTTTACCACACATGTACTGAAGCAAATCGTCGGAAATTCTTCGAACCGCTATCTGATGCCAGTATCTTAAGTTAGCCTTCCCCTGCTTCAGGGTGCTCTTCTGCTACTTTTTTCAGCGACTCTTGTATTTTAGCTCGCTGTAGTAATAGGCCGTGTACCATAGTGCCAAACGTCACTTTTTACCAGTGAGTCTCTCAAACCATCCGTCTGAGCATTGTAAATAGTATTGGGTTGACTCGAAGGCAGTTGAAGACTGGAGATGCAAGTATTTTCCTATGGACTCCATTATAACGAATTTTATTCCATGAAGCCTCCCCAAATCGTTGACATGCTATGCCCTGCAATTCAATTAGCTGTTCAGCTCTAGGAATAGTTGGTTCGGTTTCCTTTGTCACGGGGGAGAAAATGTCCCAATCGTGTGGATTGTTTACTTCTGCCTCGGACGGCAAGTTCAGGTCGGGGCTTGGTGCCCTCCAGCTGACAGTGTCGCTTGAATTCCTTTTATTTCCAGCTTGCTCAGTCTCGATTCAGTGTTGTCATGATTCGGGGATAACTGACGTTCTGTGTTTCTGGGCCGCTTGACCGGTCGAAGTGCCTCGCTAATGGCCTTACTGGAACTTGAGGAAAATTCGCTAGAACTGGACATTGAGGACCTGGTTCTTTTTCTACTGGGAGATGTGAGATTCCGCGTCCGTCAAAAGCGCCTCCGAAACTTGATCGCGGGACATCAACGAGGGCTTTACTTCCTCCACCGCTTGGGTGGATGATACTCGCAGTCTTGCTGCTAACTGATGAGGGCTCAAAATTAACCCTCTGCAGATATCCCAATTTAAGAGAGCCAATTTGATGTTTTTGTAGGTCTTCTCCCCCACAGATGCTGAATCTGGGTGAAAAATTTCTAAGGTTGGTAACGCAAACCTAATATTATTGAGGACCTTATAGTCGATTTTTTTGCCTAATAACTCCTCCTTTGACCAGTCTGTAACCTTCCATGACCGTCAGCCGTTTGGTAAAGTGTCTTCTATTAAGAGCTTGATTTTTTCAAAAACCTCTTCATCTCCATTTCCACAGTTTCTAAGGAACAGCTCGCCCAGCGTAACAAATTCAGCTGGAGTTGCCATCTGAAGATATATCACAAATTATTGCTTGCCTTGTAAGCAATTCGAGTCTCAACCAGATAACTGCTCTCTGTGATTCGTCATAGGTTGGTCAAATCAAGTATGCGGCCGGTCGGACCAAAGTATGCGGTTGGTTGGGTCAATTTTTCGTCCGATCGGGCCCGGTTTAGTCGGTGGTCGGACCAAAATGTGCGGCCCGTGGGGCCAAATTCTGTGGCCGGTCGAGCCAAATTCTGCAGCCCGTCGGGCCCCAAATTCATCAGTCGGTCGGATCAATTCATGTGTCCGATCGGATCAAGGTCCGGAGCTGCTCGGGCCAAATGTCGTAGATTAATTAGCCGTGTTGAGAATCGAATGTTGCTACTATAATATCTAAAACAGAGAAAAATTACATTTACTCATAGGTGTGATGTTACCTTGTCGAGATTATCTTAATCCTAATACAAAAGTTACACAACGTTAGCTCTCACGCGTCACTTCTGCGCACTCACGAAACACCGCTCACTTGCTGTAAATATAGCGTACTGAAGAACAAGCGAGAAACTCGCCAGCTCGCCACTTGCCGGCTAGCCATGGCGCCGGGAGGGGGATACTCATAGGCGTGGGGGTTGGGATGCTAGAATGGGGTAAGTAAAGTCGAGAGGAAAGGGGGGATACACCACTCACAATGCTGTAAATGAAGAGGGTAGTCTCAACGGTCAGGTCGTAGGTACAGAGCCGAAATGTGCTCTTTTAGGTGGTCCATGTTGAGCTTCTCGGAGTAACCCAGCAGTGCTCAGCACCAATATTGTTCCACTGCATTTTATATTCCCATAAATACACTTTCAAGAGTAGTTCGGGAGAATATCTCTCAAACAAAAGCCTACTAATGTATTCAATAGTGCTTCGTATTTACTATGTTTTTTTTCAGGGGAGCGGATTTTCAAGAGGCTTTTTCTAGCAAATTAAACTATTACCATATATCTAGAATGAATATTCGTTATAAACCCAAATTTATAAAAGCATTTCTACAGATTTTGCTAAAATAACCAATGAAGAATTTCCTATATATGCACTGAAAATATGTATCAGATTAATGCTTGAAAATCTGTTGCTTTATATATTTCCTGAATACATATTTACGAAAAATATTAGATATTTCATCAAAATATAAAATTGATATTTAAAAATCTTTCCTCATATATTTTCTAAATATTTGGAAAAAATATATAATTATATATACTACAAAAATATCAAAATGAATATTTTATGAATATGTATATAAGAAAAATATTTAATAAATATTTAATGCTATCGGGGGTGTGGATTCTCAAAGTGTTTCATGGCTAATATCGTTATTTATCGCATGGTGACGAACTTGATTTTTTTTAGAGAGAAGGAAATGTACCTACCGCACGCAACGGCGCATTGCCGGTTGGGCAACTCAGCTGGTGTGAGAGCCTCACACTAAAATCTCCTCTTCTCTAGACCGTGTGCCATCTGCGGTACTACCTTGCGGCTTTATCCATCGTAGATGGGGTCCCTTGTGCCGCCTTTATTGTGGCTTCAGCGACATTCGATTTTGCCTCTCTTATTCTACCTATCTAGGGGAGTAGTGGCAGTGCCCTATTGTGTCCTTCTAACTCTGTCTTTCTGCTTCATTATGTCAATAACGAATGTCTCAACGAGATTTCAGTTTTCCTCGGAGTTGACAATTAGCATGAGCTATCGCTGAATTAAACATCTGCGTAAGAGTACGTCTCTTTTGTTTCATGAACAAATGTTTCATTTGATTGTCTAGTTTTAGACAGAATTGTATTCAACAATTTATAATAGTAGAATAGTAGCATGAAATTGAATACACTTATATTAAATCGTTTTTAGTATACATATATTAATCAAAATTACATAACTACGTAAAAATAAACAAGATACTAATTTTTCCTTTGAATTGGTTGTGCACTGTCGACTTTGAAGTACTATAGCGTCCACATACACCTATACTACTCAAAAGGAGCAAGAAAAAATCCAAATTTTCCGGTGATGTTTGACAAGATGTATTTTGTTGAAACATGGTTGTATCTAGACTTTGAAAAAAGCATTTTAATGCTTTAAGATTCTTAGCCGAACATTTTCATGCAATTCTAACAGATAGCAGAAGACATTTCTTTGCAAACATTTTGCCTTCTTCTTTCTAGTCCACAGGCTTGAGCTAATTTTTTTTCTGTCAGGCCAGCACGTGTATCAGACAGCGCGTTTATTCAGATTCAATATCCTTTTTTAAAAATCTCGATATGATCATTTGGCGCGGAGATATCTCACTTTGAATGAAAAAGGATCCTTTTGCCATCGACCATTGATATCTCGGTAACCAGTAGTCGCACAGAGAATGTAGGTGTATTCCCGAATACTGGAATAAAACTCCCATAAGATTTGATTGCAGTCTTTGAGGATTTTTTTGTTTCTTTCATGTTCATCTTAGAATTTTCAAAAAAGTTACTTTTTGCCTTTGTTGGAGAATCGGCCGCACATTTCTGACTGCTAATTAGGAGGTTAATGTTTTTAGGTTTTTTAAACCTCAATATATGCCTAATAACTCTGCCATCATGCAGGTTCATTAGGGATACATTGAGGTATAAAAAAAACCTAAAAACGTTAGCCTTGTCATTACCAGTCCCAAAAATGCGGTTGATTTTCCAAAACAATGCAAAAACCAACTTTTTTTGACTTTTTTAAAACCAACAATAGGGAAACAAAAAAAAATCCTCAAAGATTGCAACCAAGTCTGATAGGAGGTTTATTCCAGTTTTGGCAAATATTCTTGCATTCTCTGTGTGATCACTTGTAACCGAGATATTAGTGCTCGATGACAAAAGTATCCTAGCATGGGGATTTTAAAAACAGGATATTGAAGCTTAATTAACCGGCTACCTGTTCCATATGATGGCCGTGGATTAAAAATAATGCGAGTTTTGTAAAAAAAATTCTTGTGCTATCTGTTAGAACTGCATGAGAACCGTTGCTCCTAAAATCTTTTGCCTAAAAAACGTAAAAAACAAAATTTTGTAGCTTCAAAACGCATTTTTTAGAGTCTAGATACGACGATTTTCACCGAAATACATTCTGTAAAATGGATTTTTTTTCTCGCTCGCTTAATTTTTTTGAGTAGTGCATTTCACACAATTTCACAGAATTTTTCAACTGCCTCCTTTGAACTACCTTCACTTAATATACGGAATTACTAGAATGCTAGAAAAAATTTTCATTATTTTTTTATCCTTTGCTGTTCGTCTACTGATTGAGGCTTTACTCATTTCGGTTCATTTAAGTCTGATATTCTCCATTATTAGAGAGTAAAATATAGACTAATAACAATCCCGCAATTTTGTATGTCTTCTGCATATATAACATATATAACAGTAACAGCATTTTATTGTCAACTGACCATTTCACTTACCTTTAAAGTTTATCCCTCAGTATACATCCTACAAAAATGGAGTCGAATGTCTGCTATTTTTGGCGCGTCAATGTGACAACTATGAATCTGAAATTTTTGCAAACCCTCACAAATTAGTTGCTAAGTCTGGTACCAATTACTATTAAATATGGTAAATGTATCAGTAACCCGGAAACTACCAGTAGTTGGACAAATTTTATACTATTGGTAAAAACTTGAATATTTGAAATCCTATACTTGCTGGTAATTGGTACCAGATTTATCAACTAATTTGTAACAGGTTACAAAAATTTCACATCATATTGACCACAGTATTAGCGCGTTGAAAACAGTATGCATTCGATTCTTCAGTTTGTGTCATTTGTGTAGTGAGTGACATAAACTTTAAAAGGCAAGTATCTGTTGGGGACCGCGCCAGACTCTCCTTAGGTGATGGCGACATCTGTTGAGGACCATGCAGGGACTTTCCTTCGTGATCGACGCGAAGTGACCTCGAAGATTCTAGACTGTCGCTATGTGGCTCACCGTAACCTTCTCGAATCAACGAGTACCTGCGATGCGGACTATATAGGTCGACGGCCGGGAGAGGGAAGCAGAGTATAGTTCAGTGAATGGCGCGACATAATAATTCGTAGTCAGATATAAATATTGGTATACATAAATGTTCTATCTAGTCAAGTTAAATAAATTAGTGCATTTCTTTTTGTGGAATCCAGTGTTTTAATCCACACCCAAAAGAACCCAGAAAAACGCTACAATATTTATAAATACTGTACTTGTTACATATGCAGAAGGCATTCAAAATTTACGAAATAAATAAACCCAAATATGTTATTTTAACATTTTGAGGTCAAATTGGAGTGGCTGCTGATGGGATCCTCACACTAGTCAGAATGACGTTATCAATTTATATTTTTCTCTTTAAAAATAGAAGCTATCAAACTGTTAAACTTTAGACGGACAGTGAAAGATAACAAATGATAGATTATGGCCAGTGATATTGAGTCCGACTACTGGAATGAACGAATTTTCATAGCATCCCAATAACCGGCCACTTCCATTTTCCCGCCATTTTTCCACGAGACTGAAATAAAATGTTATATTTCCACTTCATCCGGGAATGAAGAAAAAAATAAATTTTTCATAGGAGACAGTCGAAGCTGTGAGAAATGTTGGGAAATTGCTTGAAATATGTAAACAGTATGGTAGTTCAAAGTCGACAGTATAGGACCGGATCCAGGGAAACAAATAGTTTCTTGTTCATTTTTACCTATTTTGTATGTATTTTTGATAAAAATATCTATATTAAATGGACTCAGTATGAGTGTGGTTAATTTGTTTTTCTCTAACTCTTAATGACAGCTGATTTGAAATGTCTATTATATCACAAATTTTTGAAAACGGTTCTGTCTAAAATTTTGATTAATATTTTTTTATAAAATCACAGGAATATCTATAAGCAATGTATTTGTTATCCGCGAAGAGTTAATAACATATATGATCACCTCCAAAAGCATTAGTTGTGTTATCTTGAACACAAAATTCGTAATTACACTTTGTTTTAGATTTATTTAGCATTAATCCTACAATGTCCATAATATCCATGTTACACAGTATATCACATAATATATTATGTCTTCAAGACTACATATTTTTATACAAAAATGTTCTAGTATGAATTCTGGTTTTCCATGAGATATTTTGTCAATTCCTCCTAGAACATTTTCAAACTGGCACACATCTTGATATCATTACTTAATTTATTAAATTCGTACAATCCCTTTTGAAATACTGACTTGCTCGTTATATTGCTACTGCAATTTTGTAAATGAAAGTCTATACTACCTCTAGTAGAATAACTGTGGTATTCATTGTTCAATACAATAAAATTTCCAATTGATTTGATAGAAGATGATTTTTGATATTTAACCATTGTAGTTCTTTCAGCATAGAATTTATTATGGTATATTTATTTTTATATTTAAGATGGTTCTCATAGCTTTATTTTGTAATATGTATTTGTAATTTTGGAAATACAGTTACGTTTGCAGTGAACAAAATAGTCGAACAATATAACAAATGAGGAAGAAAGTGTTGTACACAATTTTTTTAAAATAAACGCTTAGGCTATGCGAAAATGTTTAAAAGTAATTTATCGTTTTGGATATTTTTGAAATAATATATTCATAGTGCCCTTCAATTTTAATTTACACTCTACGTATATGCCCAAATATTTAAATGATTCCAGTGACACAATTTTCTCATGATTAATCGTAAGATTTATCGTATTTTCATCTAAAGATTTTCGTATTAGTATATATTTTGTTTTGTTTGTGTTTAGTTTGAGTTTATTCACATTTAACCAATTAATTACGTTTTTCATATCATTATCTAACAGCTCGATTGCAGTATCAATGTCTTCAATTATTTGTATTCAATTTTTGTCTAAACTGTACGACTACTGGTACATTCACCCTATAGGACTTCAAATAACGTTTTCCCAATAATATAAGATTTGTCCGATTACTGGTAGTGGTACATTCACCCTAATTACAATTTAGACTTTACAGACAACAAAAAATGTAATAAGGGTTGTTATGTATTATCAATTTATTACATTCCTCATGACAGTTGTCCCTATCGAATCGGTTCCTTCTTACAATATACCCTTAAAGATATTTTAAATATTTTTATCTTTACAGGATTCATTGAAGACATTATCAGAAGGAACAATTTAGGCGTTTCATACTAGGTGAGTTATTTTAAGTGGAGTTTAGATCTTCTAGGATGTCATTTTGATCTAATGTATATAAAAGCATGAAAGGGAGATCTCTCTCATTTTTATAATTGTTAGTTGCAAGTTGCAGTTAGATATAACTTATATTTGCTAACGATAATGATCTATTGGACATTGAGAAAAATATAGGTTATAATTGTCAACTACATGTTGCATAAATAATCATCATTCACAACTGAGTTATACAGGGTGTCAAATTTTAATCGCCCTACCTGAATATTTCAAAAACTACACATCCCAGAAAAAAGTTTTAGGGTTCTGAAGGTTAAATGATGATGACCCTGGCCTGGAACATGTCCTTGGGCATGACCTTTCAAGGTTAAGGTATGCCAAGGTTGTTCTCTGCAATTTTGGCATACAAACCCAGGAATTACTTAACAAATAATATTCAAGGTTAACGTGACGAGAGGTCACATTTGAGCGTAGACTTGGCCTTGAAGGTCGTCAAGGTCATCTTTGGATAAACCTTACAACTATGCTGTCGAACATTTTACTGGGGCATATATGCGTAACGTAAAAGTTCCTCCTGTTTTCTACTGCGGTGCAAAAAAGGGGGTTGCATTTGAAAATATTCACTTGACCTTAAAATGATCTTGAACACCGTCGTCAATGTCAAGGCCAAGATCATCGTCATTTGTCCCTCAAAAACCAACAACTTTAATTTAAAAGGAGGCGTAGTTTAGAGACAATTAAAATGGTACACCCTATATAGATAATTGCGATTTGTAATTGACAGTTACAGCTAATTGCAATTTACGACTAACAATTATATCTAATGGTATAGCTGGAAAGTGTTACCATCACCACACTTTGAAAAAAGGCAATAGGCATTATTGTATAATAAAACTGTACTTTGTTGAATTCATAATTTTTCGAGCTTTGTGTTAAATATGAGTTAGAATAAAGAAAATTAAATGTTTGATTATTTTTTTTTTCAGGACAAAGGAGTTATTAGAAGTTGGTGAGTTTTTAAAATCGAATCATGTTAATTTGATTGAGTGCTTCTTACAATCTTATGTTATATAGTCTTTATGTATTTCTCATTAGAAAAATCCTCAAAAGGCTCTGATTTTATTGCAAAATCTGGTAGGTACAACTCAGCGGTTTTTTAGTTCTGTCGTACCATCTATTCATATGACTGCCTAGGTTTTTGGAGGGTCCTTTTTGTTTCAATTAGGATTATAAATGGTATACGGTGAGATTCAAATTTAGCTGACGTTGTAATGTGTACTAGAGAGAAGCGCGAGAAGCGTGCGATATGTATGTTAGAAAGAGATAGAAGCACCTCAGTGCCTAGCAACCCGAGTGACGAGGCCACGGAAGCAATCGAGGCACTCTTTCTAACATACATATCGGCTCTTCTCTCTCGTACACATTACGACATCAGTGGTATTTGGTTTCCAGTGTATATGCTATATCGACATATTTGATTAACTTGTCAGACAATTAAGATTAGAAATGGTGTTTAATGCTAATTTATCGCTCTGTGTATCAAATAGTTTCAATTTTGGTTGAAAGAGTTTATTTAACCATAGCACCTATGAAACAAAGGTTCAAGGACAAAAGGAACTTTGAAAACCTATATCAACTTCCAACGTTGCTAGTTAGTGTGGTAAAATCGCCGTAAAAACGCCGTTTATTTCAATTTGTACCTCCAGTACATCCTATTATTTAACGTATGCTATTCTGAAGATTGCCAATCATGTATTGTACTTCTGCGTTTGGAAAATTGTCAGAGATGAAATGAGATACCCTCGCACCATCTCTAAGAATTTGCCAGAACTATGTTTTCCCTCTTCGCCATCCTGCTTTGAAAAGGCAAGTGTCTCATAGATGGCGCTATTTGGCATATATAGTTGGCTAAGTTAAATTTCTTTATCGTCCGTGAACATTTCGGTGCAGGCTGTGAGGCAGCTGTTACTAAAGGCCGTATCGTCAGTCGCTCCTGCAACTGTAGGACGCCTTTATGGCCTTCTTGATTTTCATAGTTTTCTCTCCTTTTGTGAATTTATGTTTTCTTGTTGAATTGCAGGAAATTTAATGCTGTTAAAACGGATGGTGTAAATCAAAAGCATGATTAATTTGATGCAAATAGATATTTGCTCACAATAGAGCGCACGGAACAATAGAAAACTATATATGAAAATCAAGGAGGCCATAGAGGCATCCTACAATTGTAGGGACGACTGATGATACGGCCCTAAGCTAAAATCGGGTAGTGGTAACTGGATGCGATTGTGGTACACCCGTAATTTGTAGGCAAAATTCCCGTTTTTTATTATGTAATTATGTAATTTTGGGCGCTGAATTCAAATATAAAAACATGAAGTGCCGTCGAAGTTGAGGTCGTATTAATAATTATTGTGACTATATTTAAAATTATTTTTACTACATTATTATGAAAAGGTATTTTATTATATTGCACAAACTGGCAAAGGTGGAACAATAATTTATTGTATAGTAGTATAGTAGGTTTTGGCCAAAAAGTTGGAACAATGGATAAACATTATTCTTCTAAATTATTTCCGTAAGATGATAGCAACTTGACAGATACAATATTATATTGATATACTGCTAACTGTTTAATAAATAATGACCTGGACTATGATGGTGGCTAACGTGATTTACTTACTAATGATTTATATATGTAAACATACTTTTGTAATTTATTACGTCAATAAAAAATCAAAATAACGACTCTTAACGTAATTTCTGAACCCTACCCTGTGCTTGTCTGTTATTGTTGACGCGCATTGAACTTTTTGATTCAGGGAACTTAAGGGCAATGCATTTCTAGCATATGACTAAAATTTTGTTTTATTCTTTATCAAGGTTAAACATGAAGCGAAAAAGCAAAAATCAAGGATCAAGATGGCAATCATCAAGCAATAAAGGTAGTAGCGACGACTCTCAAGGGGATGCACCTCCAGTCGCACGTGTACGCGCGCCAGCGCCAGGGCGAACAGGCGTCCGAAGGCGCGTCCCTCGGACTGGGCAAAGTTTGCCACACGAACTGGCGTCCATAGATTGGGGAGCCGTAATTCCGGCTCACATTCTACGCGTGTCTCCTCTTGAGAGGGTTTCCGGTTGTGTCCGTAACCCGAAGAGGTCGCACCCTGGTTTTGGGGACACAACGACCACAACGCCGCAGGGTCTCCCGGCCCGAGAGAAAATTATATTTAAAAATCCGCCACTGACTTACAAGGACAGCGCAGAAATGTAAGTACATCCATATATTCTGTTTAGAGAAAAGTGGGTGACCTGTGCTCAATTAACTGAACCTTATACAATTTTATTTGTGATCATAGATGCCCGCAGCAATTTTTCTCAGCGCGGGCCGCGATCATTGGCCATAGATAACTTTTTGCGAAAGTGTACCTGCCTCCCAAAATCATCAAAATTGTAAACAAAATCGTGCTAAATATGCAAATAAGGTCCAACCTGATTTCAAGGGCGGCCGTGGCCTCTATGTTTGTGATGAAATTGTTCTTAGTACTGAGTACTTTATGTTTATTTTATTTTTTGTTGGTTGCTAGTATACATTGTGTCCAGAAACAACTAGGTTCGAAACAACAAAGCTAATTTGCGGTAAATCAGCACCGAAAAAGTAAAACGTAACGAATTTCAAGTACTGCCCTGTCACATGTTTTGTTTGCAAACACTGCTTGAAGTTGTCGCTGTTCGATTCAAAAACACGAGTTTGTTTACCCCTTCTTAAATTTGCAACATTTTGGGCTGTCTAGGTCTTATACTGCGTCCACCCAGATGTCTTTTGCACGGTATAAACTAACCTATGCAGCTCTGATGTAAACATCGAGGACAACGTTTTGAATACATTCGCGGAGTATCAATATGCTCTTGAAGACTTTCACAGTAAACCAACATCAAATCGATAACTACGTTATATAAAATTTCGGTTTTTCAAATGCGACTTGTTTATAAACTAGGTTATCCTTCACAACGCGGGGCACCTGATTTGGATACTGACTCACATAGAGCCACAAAATATCATACCTTCCACGGGGGGAGATGAGGCTAGCCCATTTAGAGTTATTCAGAACTTGATATCTCGGTTATCTTAGGGCTTTGGTATATGTGTTACCTACTATATCCCATTCGTAGTCCATTTACGCCCAGACAAAATACAACATTCCCAAAAGCGATATTGTAGAGGTCCGTATTTTACTCAATGGTCTCGGAATAATCTAACAAAATAAATTATTATTTTTATAGAAAAAAGTGCTCATATTTTTCATAATTCTTTATTCGCTGGAAGTACTTGAATCATCTTCCGAATGGTTAATATTAATTATTACAGGTTCAATTTGAATATCAAGCTCCCACATCTTTGTTTCGATTGTCTCGTGACGGATGCAATCTTTCCAATGGTTTACCATGACTTTGTTGACAGCTTCATAAAACAAATTTTTCACGTCAGAAAATTTGAATGTTCTTTTGTTTGAAGCCACATAGTTTTTTATATTTGCCCAAATCATTTCAATGGTATTTAATTCGCAGTGATGAGGGGGTAGCCTTATTTTTGTTTTTACCCATTTCGTCAATAACAGTAAGATTATATTTATATTTGTGCTGCCTGACTAGATACATATATAAGTTCTGCTTTGACCATATTTTCATTGAAATTAATGTCTTTTGATAGGAACTATTGTTGAATGTCTTCCTTTCTTGTGGACATTGTGGGAATTTTTTCTAGTTTTCTAGTGTGGTATGCAGCATTATCAAGTACAATGTCGGCATTGTCGTCAAGCTTTGGGAGTGTTTCTTCAAACCATCGTTCAAATGAACTCCCGTCCATTTCTTCATGATAGTCGGTCGTTTTCTTTGACTCAAATGCCCATAAAGCAATGGGCACAAAGCCATCTCCACTGCCAATGTGACATATAACAAATCGTTTTCCTTTTTCTGGAAATAATTATTTCATATAGTATTCAAGAAAACTAATAATAATACAAGCAGAGTATCTAACAGATGTTGGTTCTAAATCTACCAGATATAGCTAAGTTTAGTGTAGCTAAGTTCTCAGCGTAGGCTCATAGATTCAGTCTACTTGACACCATTTTTACAACACAAATGACGAATTGGTTAGATACATGCATCTGATGGATTTTTTAGGCCAGTGGTTAGTTCATCTAAGAAGGCTTGTCTTGCTGATTTAATTGTAGAGTCAGCCCATACTTTACGTTTTGTATGTTCTGCATTTATCCAGGTTTCATCCACGTAATGAACCTTCCTGCCCTGATCGCGGTATTTCTTGATTGAATTCAAATAATTTCTTCTCCATAAAATAATCTCTTGGCTGTCCATCAAAATACTAGATTTCTGCCCCGTTTTCTATGCTCAAAATGAAGTTCTTTGAGTAAACTATAGAATGTGGTTCTTGTGAAAGTAGGTAAGTCTGCATCACTATTAACCTCCTGTAATACTTTGTCTATGGTGGGAAGTTCCTGCATTTCAAAAAATTGATGGACTTTGCGTCTAATGGCATTCCGATCAAAGTTGTCAACTGTATCCAACAGCTTCGTGTAATGCAGCCTGTTGTGTGGTGGTGACATTTTTTTGTCTTTTTTTATATTCTTTAACAATGTTAAACATTGTCTTAGGACATAACCCTGTTTTGTTCGCCACACGTCTTTCAATATCATGAATTTTCATTTTAGGATGCTCCTATAAACGTTAAGGACAATTTCTTTTGCCTGAATAATCAAATGTCCCTTCTTGTCACGTTTTCTGGGAGGATACATCATTGAAAAGGAAGCATGGCTGAAGGCAGCATTGGGTGAAATATTCTCAGTTTCATCTGCTCTATCCGTAGGCGACATGCTAACGTATAAACACGCCACGCGCTATGTATGCACCGAATACAATAACTGCCGGCGTCGGCGTGCCGGCGATACCCCGAGCCTGAGTTCTATCATGTCGAATCCTGCAGTTGTTTGTAGTTTTATGGCAGAATGACCAATAGCTATTGCAACGCTTAGGCGGCTGCCGCTTTGCCGCGCTGCATCGTTGTTATGCCGGGGCATCACTGGACTACGAATAGTGCTTAGGAAAACTTACTTGTTATTGCGTGACCTACACGCTCTATAAAGTCCAACTTTGAGGACACCCTGTATCGCTCTCACCATAGAAAGTTCTCGACTCTACTCTTGTTTTCTAGAAAATAAAACCGAAGTGTTCATGCCATACCCGATAGTACGCTTGAAAATCCCCCATGTTTGTCTGACCCATCAAACCACATGTTATGCGGTGATAAATTCTTCTTTACAGTGTATTGTGTTCTTAAGTACAATTGTCACTTTTTTGACTACATAGATATTTTATTTATCTGTCTTCCTGGTGACGCTTCCTTTGTTTTTTCGTTTCATTTTCACATTCCTATACTGTGTTACTACATAGGTCTGAAAGGTCCTGCAGCATGCTGAGATTGCGCGAAGGTATCAGTTTAAATTTTAAGATGGCAAGGCGTAGAGCCAGCATGGCCCAGGACCACCAGGGCATTCCCGCTCCCAACGAGACGTCCAGCCTTCCGAAACGACAAGTGAGTGTGAGGTTATCTGGCGTTTTTTAATGTACCAGATGCGTCACCCTCGTCCATTGTTCCGAAAACGCCAAAAGCCCTTCTAAAAATACGAAAACCCACCCTGAACTGTTGTCGTATCACGCCGGTTTATTGTTATGCAATTTTCGACTAAAGTATTGAAAATGCATTGTTTATGGATCTGAGAAGAAATGATACTTCAACATTTAAAGGAAACCATCTTGTTTGTCCTGTGAGAAAATAATGTAACACAACAGTGTGGCTTTGAGATGGCAAAGTTTGAGATTCAACAACAAACTATGAGAAAAAAACCTGTATAAAACCCATGGTCCATTAGTTAGGTCGGAGAATACCAATTAGATTTTTCACTCAAATTGGGTCGCAGTCCACAGAACTAGAAAGACAATTGTTGTTTAATTTTATATAGGCTGATTGCTTTACCTTTCTTTTGGAGTTGTCATCCTACTTGTACAATATTGAGACTTCCTTTCATTTTACTGTGTTTTGCTATATCGGTGAAACATCAAGACCTGTGTAGAATTGAAGAATGAAAAGCCTCTATAACAAAGGGAGAAACCTCACAACTAGCACTAACCGAACATGTGTAAGAAACAGGATATAAAGAAAAATCGAAGAAAGTCCCAATACTACACAATGAGGATAACAATTATAAAAGAAGGCAAATTTATTAGCCCATATATCAAACAATTGTCTTTCCAGTTCTTCTATGGACTGTGACCCAATTTCTAATTAATATTCTCCAACGTAATGGACCACGAGCTTTTTATCAAGGTTTTTCTCATGGTTTGTTATTGGACCTCAAACGCGTAGATGCTTTACTTGGACATCTCAAGGACAAACTGTTATGTCACATTATTTTCTCACATGACAAACATCATGGTTCTCTTCAAATGTCGAAGTATTATTTCTCACGTTTCAGATCCATAAACAATGCATTATATACATTTTAGTCTAAGATTGCATAACAATTAACCGGTGTGTTACAGCAGTTTTGGGTGAGCTTTCGTATTTTGTTCGTACGCCACTGGGCGAATATTTTTGGATCTTAGCACATTTATACGCTCTCGACCCTGGTAATTATATGCACCTATTA